CAGAGAGTTTCGATAATTACTACTTTGTAAAATGATATAATGGTCAGAGGGCTGGCTGAAAAGTCATAAGTCCTAGGTTCAGTTCAAATTTCTGATATATGTTAGCTGTGTCACCATGGGTGGGGTCACTTATTTGCTCACTGACTGAAGGAATTCTAGAAGTTACAAGCGGAGGTGACGGCCTGCATCAGTGGCAGTAATTTTCATACCAGGAATTTCACACACCGATGAAATCACAAACCTACTCCTTCCCTCCCCCATATAATTTGTTATCTGATAGGCCAACGCTCTACTGTTCTTCATACTATTTTTCATAATAACCTTTGATAGTCTTACTTTTATGACTTCAAATGACTTTTATTATTTTTTCTAATTCTATTTATCTTGGTAAGTTAATTCCCAGATATTTAATACATTTGGCTGTTTTAAAAATGGAATTTCTTTACTTATCTCTTCCTCTTGGGGTTTTGTTAGTAAATACCCTCTTGGGTTTTATTAGTAATGCAGAGAAAGGCTGATGATTTTTGTTGGTTTAATTGGATTCTGTAGCTGTAAGGCCTGTTAAACCAGCACTACCACAATTCATTTCATTTTATCTCGTTTGTGGTTTCCATGGCCCTTTTTATGTGTACAAGGATGTTTAATTTTTAGAATTTCACAGCTAAAAATTAATAATATTGCTTACTAGAAAGCAGATACGTATACACATATGCATGTTAATACAGATATGTGTATACATATATGTATGTACACACATATATCTATTATGTATATGTGTATTAAAGTCATAATTTTTCCTTTTCCAAAGTGTAGCTCAAAAAGCCAAGACACTACATAATACTTTGATCCTTAACAATTATCATCCTGTTTGGCTTAAGGAGGGAATAACATACACAATGAGATATGGAAATCTATCTTACCCTACAGGAAAATAAGGGGGGGAAGGGGACAAGAGAGCAGGGGGTTGATAGAGGGGAGGGCAGATTGGGGGAGGGGATAATCAGAAGCAAACACTTCTGTGGAGGGACATGGTCAAAAGAGAGAGTAGAATAAATGGGGGGTAGGATAGGATTAAGGGAAATAGAGTTAGTTTTTCACAACAGGACTACTATGGAAGTGTTTTGTGCGACTACACATCTATAACCTGTACCAAGATGCTTGCTTTTTCAATGAGGGTGGGTGGGGAGGGAGGAAGGGAGAAAATTTGTAACCCAAAGCTTTAAAAACACGTTAAAAATATAAAAATAAAAAATTTATATAAAAAAGCAAAAAAACAAACAATTATCATCCTGGAACTCCTGAAAAAACAAAAGGTGTATCTCTAAAATATATGAAACGGGACTTGAATCCACAGGATCCACCACACCAATCTGGATGCAGATTTGGAGGACCACAGTGGCTCCTTCCATCTCCAGCCAATTTCTGGCCTTGGTCAGATCTAGAATATCCTCGAATAAATTTTATTTGGACATTCGTTTTGTTCGTGGGTATTTTCTTTTTCTCTTCTCTAGAGTGGATGCTGAGTTTTACTCAGTCACTCAAAAAAAAAAAAAGGCCTGGATTACTGAAATGCAACAGGGAATTAGAAACCAGTTTACAAACTGGAACATCACTACGCATTGCTTAATAGCAGTCCTGATGTTCTAATGAGCCTTGGAACAATTTGAATACTCCCAGGATACTTTATGTTTGATCCTGTAACCAGGTAGGGTCCCTGAAGTTCTCAACTACCTAGAGGCCTTAAAGGAGTTATTATAACTCTACCCATCTAGGCTCAGGTAATAGGATAAGAATATCTTTTCTTTTGCACTTGACAAATACTGCAATCAGATGAGATTTTAATCAGCCAAAGGAAAAAAAGAAAAACAAATTGGGGATATAGAGGTAGGGAACTGACAGTACTACAGAGTAAAAATCTGGAATTCTTTCTTTAGGTGGAAACCATAAGGCAGTAGGTTCTCCATTTATTCACTCTTACCTCCAACCATATAGATACAGAGATTTGGGCTTTTTGTATTTGAGTTGCTCATATAGTACTAGGGAGTTTAGTAATCACAACTACTCATAATATTTCAGACACGTATACATCATGGCTTTAATAAAGATAGGCAATTTTCTGTTTGTTTTTAAATATCCATCTTGATAGGGGCAGCTAGGTGGCGCAGCGGAAAGAGCACGGGCCTTGAAGTCAGGAGGACCCGAGTTCAAATCCAGCCTCAGGCCAAACACTTGACACTTACTAGCTGTGTGACTCTGGTCAAGTCACTTAACCCCAAATTCCTAAATAAATAAATAAGTAAATATCCTTCTTGATTACTTTGCAGCAATACCATGGGGCCAGCACGCTCAAGAAAGATCTTCAAGATCAAAACCAAGGAGACCACTTTTAAGTTTTGCCTCAGATTTTTTGATAGGTAGGGCACAACATTAACTTCCTTCAAACCTTTTGTGAAGATAATAGGCAAGTCTCAAAAATTCTGAATGGGAGGGGAGCGGAAAGGATCATCTCAATCCCACCTAAACCTCCACTTACATAAGCTACTTTCTAAATTAAGATAACTCATTTTTTGTTAAAGGGTTAGAAAGGTTCGCAAACAACATTAAACATTTAAAAATACTTTTCAAACATACTACAGTACATGAATTTATATATTTATATGCTCCATATGTTTGTATTGAAAAGGATCAAGAACAAAATAATAGGATGTAAAAAACCCACCAAAGTTCACATCCAGTCAACAGTTGGTAAACCAAAGTAATCCACTCAAAAAAATCTAAGACTATGTTTTTAAAAGCAGTTTTCTGGGAAACTTTTAAAGTTTAAGTAATCTCTTTATTTATTTATTTGGCTTTTTTTTTTTTTTGGTGAGATCGGGATTAAGTGACTTGCCCAAGGTCACACAGCTAGTAAGTGTTAAGTGCCTGAGGCTGGATTTGAACTCAGGTCCTCCTGACTCCAAGGCCAGAGCTCTATTTACTGTGCCACCTAGCTACCCCAAAGAGTTAAGTGACTTGTCCAGCTAGTAAATGTTTGAGGCTAGATTTGAACTCAGAAAGATAAGTCTTCCTGACTCCAAGCCCAGTACTCTATCTGCTGAACCCCAGGGCTGCCTATAGTAATCTCTTTATTTAATGAATATTTTTTCCCAATTACATGTAAAAATAATTTTAAACACTTGTTTTTTAAAATTATGAATTCCAAATTCTCCCCCTCTCTCTCTCCCTGACACAGCAATTTGATACAGGTTATACATGAGCAATCATTCAAAATATATTTCCATATTAGTCATATTGTGAAAGAAAACACAGAGCAATAATAAAAAATCCACGAAAAAAAGAGTGAAAAGCAGGCTTTAGTCTACATTCAAACCCTACCAGTTCTTTCTCTGGAGGTGGATAGCATTTTTCATCACGAGTCCCTTGGAACTATCTTGGATCATTGTATTGCTGAGAATAACTAAGTCTAAGTGTAATAAGTGTAAATAAGTGTAATAAATGTATGTAAGAATAATTAAATTTAAATGATTTCAAAACATCTGCTTGGTATTATCCATGACTGACCAGGTTGTCACCAGACAAAGGTCCTAATTCTTCATGAGGAGAGGGGAAAGGGGGACAGCTAGGTGGCACATGGATAAAACACAGGCCCTGGAGTCAGGAGGACCTGAGCTCAACTCCGACCTCAGACACTTACTAGCTAGCTGTGTGACCCTGGGCAAGTCACTTAACCCCTTCAAAATATTGCCTCCAAAATAAAGTAAATAAATAAATAAAATAAATTTAAAAAAAAGGAGAGGGGAAATATGAAGTCTGTTTTAAATTATCAAGGCAAGCCTTGATAGGGGAAGGGGAAAAAAGGAAAAAGCAATTACAAAAGGGTACCCCTAATGTTGCCCCCACTAATGGCACTTCCTTGAATCATTATGCACTATGTAAGTATAAGTTATTATAGTCCATAAAGAATATTAAGGAGCCTAAGGGTGCTCACTTGATTATCTTTAACCTAGGGATAGATCTATTTACTACTGTACTAAAATGCAATCTACAGTAAAAGAAAGCAATGGAGACAACCTCTCCTTCTGGGTGGGAACAGCTGATGGTAACTTCAGGAGGTTGTTGCATATACTCAGCAAGTAAAGTTCAACCCTTGGTAATATAAAAAATAAAAATGGAAAGTGGATGGGATCTAAAGAAATATAGATTCTGAATGAGAAAAACACACACACCACTTTCCATGTAGCAATGGAGAAATACTTCATTCTTTATATGTGATTCCCTTACATCAACATTTCCTCAAATGAAGGAGACAGGATGCTAAAGTGGAATTTTTTTGGAAAAGAAATATAAAAGCAAGAGAGAAACAGGTAGTGAGCCAAGTTAATTCCTAATAAGATTTTGTTTTTCAAGCAATAGTGGACCCAAGAGATCATTGAGTTCAGCCCCTTTATCTTAAGAGATGAGAAAAATGAGAACCATGGTGGTCAAGGGTCAAGTGACTTGGCCCAAAGTCATATTTGTATATAAGGAGCAGTGTGTTGGCAAATGTTTCATAACTGACTCTCTGAGGGAAAAAATGTACCCATGATATACTTTTAAGTTTAATTTGCATTGTTAACATTTTTTCCATCACTTTCTTAAGTCTGGGCAATCAACAAAATGATAAATTAGGCCCTAATTTGCTTTTGAGGTTTAAGTGTTCTTAATGAAAATTTAACAACTGGTTCTCTGATAAGAGTTGGCTCCAGCACACCTCTGCATATAAATATTATAACAGAACTCAAATTTAAACCCATATATTTTTGACTCCAACTTCAATGGCCTGCCTCTTCTGGTCACAAAAAGAAGGGAAAAGACAAAGGGCATGACAACATTATTTCAATGGGGATGAAGGGATTGGTGTATGTGTACAATTTTCTTTGTTTTTTTCAAAGCATCCCATGCTGCAATAGACACAATACACAATGCATCACACAAAACAGGGTGTTATTTTTAAACTGTGCTTTAATTCCTGCAATCAGATATGATGCAGTGTGATACAAGTATAAACTCTAATTGTACATACAGTAAAATAAAAAGCAAATTTATACAGATTTTGCCCAACAGCTTATTCCTCAAATAAAAAAAAACACCTCAAAAACAGGCATAAATTCAATTAAAGCTAGTTTGTATTCAGTGTAAAAACTTGGAGGTATAAAGAGAAATTCAGGCCATTATATACAGTAAATTAATGTACATTTCTAAACTTGCAGTGCAGCATTTTCAACAAGGTTTTAAATGGTTTCACTTCAGCTTTTACAATTAAGCACTTCCCATGTTTTAATCTTTAATAAAAATTTCACAATATATAAACCCATTTGAGAATTTTATACACAAACACAAGTTATAGAAATATGATTTCAAATATAAATACATAACTGTCATGACCTTACAAATTATAACAGCTTAATCTTCTTTTCCTGGACTACAGTTTTCAAAAGTATATAAAAATATTTCAATGCACATTCAACTACTATTACAATGGTCACAGACATGTGACTTTAACCCAAGATTTCTGGAGCATAAAGCATCACACAAAGCATTTTTGGAATGCACGTTTACTCAAAATCCAAGGATTTTATAGGCTACTGTATAAATATTCACTTCATAACATGGTAACCAAAATAGCTCCATAGTGTATTTGGAGGGTGGGGAGGGGCATGAGAAAGTGGAGCAGTGTAGAGAGGTTAGTGCTAGTTGAAGAAGGCCCATGTAACTGAAGGGAGCTATGGAACTAGTGTCCTTGTAAAAATTGCTATTGAAAGTTTAACACTGTCCTCACTACTAAGACTCATAAGGCAATCGGGATTTGAACCTTTTGTGAGTACTCCTGCCCCCATCCCCATTAATCCTATTCTCTCCCAGTCTCAACATCTCTCATCTAAATAGATTCAACCTGGCTCATAAATTAATATGGAGATGGGAGAACAGTCAAAAATTTTCTGTACGTATATAGATGATTCAGTGCAAACTTAGAAACTCCTCGAACACAGTTTCAACATTCTTTGTCATTGTCCTTGAGCAATTAAAAGCTTTTTCCAACATTGAACAATTACAGGAGGGTCTATTACTAGATATCAAACGTACAAATACAAAAGGGAAACATTAATTAGAAATCTCTTAACAAATGAGATTTTTTTTCTTTCTCATGTAGAATTTGACAGGTCATATCAGGAGCAAAATAACTGGTCCTTACAAAGTGTACTTTTTTGCATAAAAATAGATTATTCACACAGCAGATCTAAAAGAGGTGTCAGGCATAAAATCATGTTTCTTCTATGGCTTTTAAAATCACTGAGGTACTATAAGATATTCAGCAACTCTTGATTCCAATGTCCAAATGCTTTCCTAAGTGAAAGCCACATTCAAAAAGGATCATATTCCATCAGTCTGCACAGGGGACAGACACTATCAAAGGACAACTATGGGGTTGCCACAGAAGGCTACGGTTTTTAATGCTCTAGTAACTGAGGTCTAGAGTCTCAGTGCACACTAAGAGAAATGTTAAGCAGTTCGCTTCAAATACTGGGAGGCTCAGATGAAAAATTCAGCTTCTCCAGAAGGAATTGAAGGTTCCCCTAGTAAACTGAAGAAAACCTCAGTCTGACTAGTAGAATTAGCAGCAAGCAGCTAGAAATAAGCATACCAAGGCATCAAGAAAGTGGAGGAATGCAAATAAGTGCAGCTAGATAGCATCTTGCACAGAGAAGGTGCTTAATACATTTTGCTGAATAAATACATGAATGAGGGAATGAGGTGTAGAGAAGGACATACAGCTACTAGCATATGAAAATGGGTTACTAAATCTGCTCTTTTTATCATCTACAAAGCTAAACAATGGAAGGGTGAAAAGGAATGACCAGAAAGTCAAGGATCTGGAATTTTCTCAGGTTTTCTATGGCTGAGACGTAGAGAACAATGAACTGTTTTGTTTAAACATACACCATAACATCTTCACATCCCTCCCATTCCCTAAATAAATCTTTTGATTCTTTTAATACAAATGCATTTTTAGAGGTATCTTAAAATGACACGGATAAGAAATCTGACTCTTCTTATTGACTGGGTAACAACAATTTTGGCACAGAAACAATGTCAGCAAAGTGTTAAGACCAAGAATAATCGATCAAGTCCTTTAGCCATAATCTAGATATAAAAACATCTTCCTTATCATTGCTTTATAAAAAGTTACCTAAACGGACATGATCTTATTCAAGTGTCAAGCTATAACACCTTGCAAATTAATTAACATTCCTAGAGATAGCTTCAGTTGCATAGTCTTTCATTAACCATGTTTAAAAAAAATGCAAAACAAGAACCATCAGTTTTCCTAACCACTGGGTCAGTGATGACATAGCTGAAATCACAAAAACCCTCACCATATTAGGCCATACTAGGATATATTTTAGTGCCTAGAGACAAAATATTTGACATCCACTACAGTCTTCAATGTTCCTCCTTCTCCACAGTTTCTGAGCAACTGAAAAAAGAAAAATTAAGTCACACATCACCTAGATCAACAAACTCATCTTCTTGTTTGGCCAAGTCTTCTTCATCTCCCAAGGCTTTCCAACTATTGGTGGGCAAGACTGGCTTGGATGAATGTCTCTGGAGCAAAGCAAAAGGAAATAAAGAGGACAGACGGGCAGGCTTCCTTAGCAGGGAAAGGGCATCCAGGGGAGGGGCCATGAGGCTGTTGTGCTTCTCATCAATTTTCTTTTGCAAGCTCTGAACCTCTTCCATCATTTCCAAGACTTTGTTCATTGTGGCCACTGGGCCACCACCCAGGATCTGGGCTTCTGGAATCCAACGCAGGCAGCGCTGGGCCCAGACTTTGATTTCTGGACCCTCTATGTGAGGAAGTAACAGTCCGTGATAGTCAACAGTTTTGCTGTGCCAGCTATCATAGAATTCTCGAAAACTGTCATGAGGTTCATCAGAGGAATTAATTAGTTTGCTAATTCTCTTGCCCAGAAGGTTTTTGATCAAGTGGTCGGTTTCTTCTCTGAAAAATCCTCTTTTGGGAGATGATTTTGTTTGGGTAAGTGGTAGAGAAAGCTGTCGCTGATGCTTTAAAGAGAGATACAAATACTTTTGTTTAATAAACACAGCTATTTGATGCCATTGAGTACAAAAAGTAATACTGCAGAAGCCTGTTTTGAGAAACATCAAATTGCCATTGATGGATAAAAATTATTAAAATATAACAGTATAGAGAAGTTATGCTATATTGTTTAGTTATTATCTGCTTGTATGAAAACAGGATTAGATGCACAATCAATGGGAAGAAGTGGGAGAAAAAAAAGTAGAGGGGGCCTCACAGAAAGGGTGGTTTGACTTGATGTGGTAAGTAACATCATCCTCTCAAACTAAAGCAAAAGCAAAAAATACTCCTGGTAAGTCAGCTGGGAAACTGGAAAGCCAGAGTGTTCAGTCAGGTGTCTGTGATGGCAGGAGAGAGGAATCAGGGATCCCCAACACCTTAAATGACTTCCTCTTACTCCTTCCCTATGTAGACAGAGCAGTTCTTTAGTGAGTGGAATTCTCATGGGGATAAGTTAAAAGGAGCCAGTTCCTGGTTCTAAATTGCAACTCAGATTAGGCACCTACGCAAGACCCTAAATTAATGTATTTTGTGAACTTACTGCTAAATTAACTGATAATGATTTTATATGCCGATTTTCAAAGCAGACCATGGCACTTTGAATTGTTTATCTGCAACTAAGTGAAAGCCCCTGCCAGGGCCTGCTCAGGGACTACCTGTCCATCCAATGTACCTTGTTTAAAAAAAAAAAGGGGGGGGGGATGTATATGTGGGGGAGGAGGTGAGAAAGAGGTATCTCAGGATCACATCTACAATACTATGTTTACTTTTAGTCACCACATTTTAGGAAGGATATTGATATTATTAAGTTCACAGGACAGTGACTCATATGGAAAACAAATCTTGTCATGTGAGTGTTGAATTTGGAATCCCAGGACCTCCCAGCTCTGCCAGTGGCATAACCAAGAGCAAGTTTCGTAACCTCTCAGGCCACAGATTCCTTATCTGAAAAATGAGGGGTTTGGTCTAGATAGTCTGAGGTCCCCTCCACCTCTAAGTCTGTGATCCTACCGTCTAATGATTTTTGGTTTTTGTTTTTTTTTTTAGGCAACTAGGGTTAAATGACTTGCCCAGGGTCACACAGCTATTAAGTGTCAAGTGTTTGGTCTGAGGCTGGATTTGAACTCAGGTACTTCTGACTTCAGAGTTGGTTCTCTATCCACTGTGCCACCGAGCTGCCCCTAGTCTAACGATTAAGAGAGGAATTGAGGATGTTTAATCTCAAGAGAAGAATGGGGGGAGAATAAGGAAGATGTGATAGCTATTACCATTTAAAAGGATATCAATGAAAGAGGAATTAGACCTGTTTCACTTAACCCCAGAGGAAAGAAAAAAGATCAATGGACTGAAATCACGAAGAGGTCACTTTAGGCTAGATGTAAAGAAGGAAAAACTAACAACTACAACTAGTGCTACCCAGAAGCAGAACTGCCTCAAGAGGGAGGAGCTTCTCCTCACTGGCTGTCCTGAAGTAAAAGCTGAGTGACCACCGGTCAGGCATACTAAAAGGGGGATTCCTATCGAGGCACAGTTTAGACTAGATCTCCTCTGACGTACCTTGCAACTTGAAGACTGGGCGATCATCTCAGGGCATGCAGTATAATGGGACACCTATGGTGTGACAGAAGGAACCACAGGATAGGACTCAGGACACCCAGAATCTACTCTTGGCCCTATCACAACTAACTATATCTAGGCCTCAGTCTCCTCATCTGTAAAATGAGACTTGGACAAAATGATCTCTAAAATCCCTTCCCACTCTAGCGGTCCACACTTCGGTGTTTATCTAAATGCCTTAGAATCCTGTTGTCCAAATTCCTTTGCTCTATACAACTGGAAAACTTTTATCTGCTCAAACTTTCCCTCTGTTCAACTTCTAAGTGCCTCAAACACTTCACTGTCACAAGGGAAAAGAGTAGAGTTAGAAAAACTAGATCTAGGTGGAACTGTGAGCTAAAATCTGGTCGCATCTTCATCTGTAAAATGAGGGGTTTAGACTAGATCATTTCTGAGCACTCTCTCAGCTCCCACATTCTAAGACGCTATGGTTCCAAGGCAGCCACGACAAGATGTGTCTATGTGAGGCCATCAGGGGGCGTAACACACTACAGAACAACTGATTTCTGGCAAAATACCAAAATGACTCAGTTAATAGCATTTTGTGTATTTCACTTCCTTAGATGGATTGTCCTCAGATCCAATTCTGGGGGCAAGAGTCTAAAACCACGGAAGTACAAGAAGTGCCATGTTCAGTCGATGAGATCCTTTGAAAGGCCTGGCAAATAATAGGTGTTTAATAAATGCTTATTGATTGAATGTGGGTGAAACACTGGACTTGTGGAGTCAGAAAGAGCTGGGTTGAATCCTACCTCACGCATGCACTGGCTGTGTGATACTGGGTCAATCACAATCTCTGAGCCTTGATTTCCTCATGTGTAAAAGGAAGATAATACCATCTATAGAACTTACAGATTCTCTCCCCACTCCAACTCAAAATTATTGGGAGGCTCAAATGAAAGAATGTATGGAAAGCATCTTACAAATGTTAAAGCACGTGTCAGTTATTATTACTCAAAAGGCATTGGAGTGGTTTGCAGTTTTAGATTTTCAAGTCTAGGCCCAGCCTGGTCCAAACTCTTAATCCTTATTAAAATAAATTCACATTTTCAGACAGGTCATTGAATGACCTCCTTTCACCAAAGCAAGGACAAACATGAAAGCCAAGCTCAGCTCCCAGGTTCCCCCCATCTTGGTCTCTACCAGAATTCGACAACAAAAGAAAAAGCAACAGCAGCACAAATTTTATTAAGGGATTTGTGACCACTGACTTCCATTTCTCTGAGGTACTTTTGGAAGCAATTTCCTGTGATGAAGAAATAGCTACGAATTACTATTTAAATAACTTTTTAACTATAAATCTATGATTCTGCTTCCTCTTTTGGGAAAGTGTTTCAGTGACTAATATACTTGGATAAACATGCATAGTCAAACTGAAATGACTTGGGGAGAGAGGGAAAGGAAAGGTACATTCTGTTTAAAGACACACTTTAATTAGAAAATAGCCTTTTGAATGGCTAAAAAATTTTGGTACATGAATATAATGGACTATTACTGTGCTATAAGAAATAACATAATGAATACAGAAAAGCCTAGTAAGACTTATACGAACTAATGCAAAATAAAGTAAGCAGAGAGGCAGCTGGGTGGCTCAGTGGATAGAGCACTGGCCCTGGAGTCAAGAGAACCTGAGTTCAAATCCAGCCTCAGACACATAACAGTCACTAGCTGTGTGACTGTGGGCAAATCACTTAACCCCAATTGCCTCATCCCTTCCCCCCCACAAAAAAATTAAAGTAGAATCAGTAAAACAATATACGTAAAGACTATTGACTATGAAGCGGAAAGGAACAACAAAACAACTGTTTTGATCAACAAACAGAATTCAGTAAAATTATAATGAATAATTATATTCATAATATAAATATCTAAATATAAATAATATAAATATCATAATATCTTGGCCCCAGAAAACAGATATGAGACAGCAATTGCTTCTTTGGACTATATTAGAGCTAATGCCAGACTTTTTCAATGTTGCTTGGTTTTTTAAATTTCTTTGTTAAATAGAATGGCTCTCTGGGAGAGGGATACATTTTGGAAATATAAGTGATATAAAAGCAAAAATTACCAATAAAAATTGGTTTTTAAGAGGCTTTTAACATTTATTACTGACTATAATCTATTGCCCTCCACCTTTCCCTCTGCCTTCCCTTCCCAAACCCTACTCTTCTTTTATACCATGACCTTTACCCCCTCAACCCCTCAATTCTTTTTTAGGTCACCTCCCCTTCACTAGCCACTTTTTCCTCTTTTCTCCATCTTGACCCCTGAGTGAACCAATTCAGCTCTACCCTGTCCTCCTCTCTTGAGTCCCTAGCCCTGAGTCATTTCACTGGTTGCAAAGCCTTGGCCTTGGATCACAACCACTACTGATTGCCTTTGCACCTAAACATACATACTGAGCAAAGGTGGAGAAAATCACACAGACCATTCTCATTGGGTCCACTACAAATCTGTTACACAACCTCAACTGGGCCCTCACTGCTGTTAGGCAATCTTATTATAATACTTCCCTTATTAAGTCATTATTCCACTCTCCACAGCAGTTCTCTTAAATCTTTCCATCCCTCTTCAAACCTCCTATGGCTCCCCCAGCTGAGAAAGTTGCCTCTTATTTTATAGAAAAAAATTGAGGCCATTTACTGTAAACTCCCTCTTCTCCCCTCTTCCTCATCTCATATCACTCATACCTTCTGCCAATATCTCCTCCTGTCTCATACGATGAGGTGGCCTTACTCCTTATCAAGGCTAACTCTTCTATCACTTATTTTCAATGTCTCCCTGTCTAATGGCTCCTTTCCAACTGCTGAAAAACGTGCCCATGTCTCCCCTATCCTGAAAAAAAAACCCTCATTTGATTCTTTCATCCCCATTAGCTATCATTCTATATCTCTTCTGCCCTTTGTGGCTAAACGTCTTGAAAAAAAGGCCATGTACAATACGCACCTCCATTTTCTCTCCTCTCACTCCATCTTAACCCGTGGCTTCTGATCTCATCATTCCACTAAAACTGTTCAATCCAAAGTTTCTAATGATTCTTTAATTGCCAAATCCAATGGCCTTTTCCTCAATCCTCATTCTCAACCTCTCTGCAGCCTTTGACCTTGCTGATCACTCTCTCCACCTTGGTACTCTCTTCTCTAGGTCTGAGGCACAACTGTCTCCTGCTTCTCCTCTTAATTACATGACTGCTCCTTCTTAGCTCTTTTGCTGCATCCTCATCGAGGTCATGCCTTCTAACCATAGGTGTCCTCTATCTACAGCTTCTGTGCTAGGCCCTCTTTCTTTTCTTCCTCTAAACGACTTCATCTGGTGATCTCATCAGCTCCCATGGATGTAATTACTGTCTCTATGCTGACAATCCTCAAATCTACCTATCCTGCCCCAAACTCTCTGATGTCGTCCAGTCTCACATCTCTGACTAACTGCCTTTCAGACATCTAGAACTGGATGTCCAATAGATATGTTAAATTCAACATATCCCAAACTGAATTATCTTTCCCCCTAAACCCTTCTTCCCCCACTCCTAACTTCCCTATTACTATTGACACCATCCTCCCAGCCCCGAAAGCCTACAACCTACGTGTCATCTTCACTCCTCTCTCACCCCCCAAAGCCCATAGCCAAACTGTTGCCAAGGCCTGTTGATTTCACCATTGCAACTCTCTCCTCTGATACTGCCACCATTGCGGTACAGGCCCTCATCACCTCATGTCTGGACTATTGCAACAGCCTCCTTGTGGGTCTTCATGCCTCAAGTCTCTCCTCACTCCAATCCATCTACTATTTAGCCACTAAAATTGATTTTCCTAAAGCACAGGTTCAACCACATCACCCCTTATTCAATAAACTTCAGTGGTTTCTAAATGCCTCCAGGATCAAATACAAAATGTTCCGTTTGTCATTCAAAGCCCTTCATAACCTAACTACCTCTTATCCTTCCAGTCTTCTTACACCTTACTCCCCCAACACATACTCTTTGACCCAGTGACACCGGCCTCTAGGCTATTCCACAAACAAGACGCTCTCTCTGTTTTGTGCATTTTCTCTGGCTGTCTCTCATGTCTGGGATGCTCCATCTCCTTTACTCTGGCTAGGGACCTCCTCAGTTCTAAGTCCCAACTAAAATCTCACCTTTTATAGGAAACCTTTCCCAATCCTTCTTAATTCTAGTGCCTTTTCTCTGTTAATTATCTATTTATCCCGTACATAGCTGTTTGTACACATTTGTTTGCATGTTGTTTCTAGAACGTAAGCTCCTTGAAGGCAAGGGCTGTCTTTTGCTTCTTTTTATACCCCCAGTGCTTAGCATACAAAGCCTGGCACACAGCAGGTGCTTAATAAATGTTTACTGACTGGCTAACATTTAAAGTCATGGATACTTAGGGACTCAGTAAAATACAATCAATTTCATTTTTGTTGCCAAAATAATGCACGAAGACAATGGATAAGCCATATCTTAGGAATTATACTTTTAAATTTACAATGACTTATTAAATATGGGTTTATTTGGCATTGCCTGGCAGAATCACATTTTTTTTTTTAGTGCCAAAAGACTATGTTTCAAAGTCATTTTGAAACACAGTACAAAGTCTGATCTTCAAAATGCAAATAGCCCGAATGTGGTCCTTTATATCTGGCCAAAAATGCCTCTAGATGTGAAGTGGTAACACATATTAACATCAATTATATGTAACATAAAAAATCCTTTATGTTATTATATATGGTTGGACAGACAAGAAAGCTCAGAAATATAAATATCTTACTTTAAAATGTGGTGCTCTCCGCTGGTTTCTATCTGGTTTTGACTTTTCTACATAAAGAGGATTGTTGAGCAAAATCTGAGCCTTAGGTTCAAACTGCACAGACCAATCCCAAACGGTGAGGAGACTCAAAGGCTTGCTTTGTGAGTCCTGGCTTTCCTTACCCTGCCAAGACAAGCACACATCATACTGGTTCCAAGGGTGGGATGGAACATGGCAAAACTCTGAGAAGAAAGAGAATGTTGTAAAAACTGCAAGGTTCCCTCTGCAAAAATGACGACTGCCCTGATATTTATCATTCATTTGTCACTTACATATGTAGGAGAGTTTGTTTTCAATAAGTTATTCACTAAAAACATTTGCTAAAACAGGACAAGACCCGGATTTCAAGAGCCCTGGAGTTTTAACTAAAATGAGTGGGCATTACAGTATTTACACAAGACTACAGTAACCTTGGGGATAAGAAGCTGCTCTCTTACATTTTACAGAGAGTCAGGTGAGATCCAGGTTCAAATCCCAGCTCTGATACTTACTGTGTGACCCTAAAGCAAGTCACTTTATTTCTAAGCCTCAGTTTCTTCATCTACAAGTTGTGGATAGTACTTGAACTACCTATCTTCACAGGGTAGCAAAAAAAAAAAAAAAAAAGACTTTTATAAAAATTTAAAAATCATTATATAAATGTGAGTTATTATGGGAAAGGTTGACTTTGGGACAAAAAGAGTAATATGCCTAAGGCTGTGGTCTAAGACTCTTATGGGTAGGCTTTAAGATACATTTAAGTCTTATGGACTTTATTGTTAAGTGAGACAAAAACTATAAAAATGGAAAGTTAAAGGGTAGTTTGAAATTTGTTCCTATTTTCTTAATTTCCACTCAGTTATTCCAAGTATGGATGTGCTATGCTTTCTGAGCAGTTTCAGAGCAGAACAAGGAGAGAATGACAAACCTTAGGCACACCCTTTTAATATCATGAAAAACAAGAAAGGGCTTTAATGGCACAAAGACCTGGCACGATGAGAACCAGCGAAAGACAATAACATTCTGCTAAGGACCCTTACCACATTAGTATCTTTCTGATACGGTGAATTGAAGAAGAAGGTACTAAAGATAGGTATGTACAGGCTATCTGACAAAACAGTCAAGTAAGTCTCTGTGAACTCGAAAGCTGGAGGATGCTGCTGGACCAACTGCCAAACACAGTCTAAGAAAAGCAGGAAAACGGGAACCTAAATGAAAAGAAGACCAAGTTACTTTCAGGGCGCGGAGACAAACGAGAGCTGTCACAAGTCCTCAAAAAGCGAGAGGCACTTCTAACACAAAAGCAGGTCAGTATTTTGATTTAGATCAACTAATGCATAATGTATATATAGGCCTTGGGCTAGAAAGAAATTAAGCCCGTTGGAGAACGGCTGAACCAGTTGTGGTATATGAATGTAACTGAATACTATTATGCTGTAAGAAATGATGAGCAGGTGGACTTGAGAAAAACCTGGAAAGACTTGTCTGGACTGATGCTGAGTGAAATAAGCAGAACCAGGAGAACGCTGTACATAGTAACAACCACACTGTGCGATGACTGACTTTGACAGACTTAGTCCTTCTCAGCAACGCAAGGACCTAAGACATCTCCAAAAGACTCATGATGGAAAATGCTATCCACATCCAGAAAAAGAACTATGGAGTCTGAATGCAGATGGAAGCATGCTATTAGCTCTCCTTTCCTTTTGTTGTTTTGTTTTGTTTCTTCTTTCTCATGGTTCCTCCCATTTGTTCTAATTCTTCTTTACATCATGAATAATGTGAAAATATGCTTAATACAAATGTACAAGTAGAGCCTATATCAGATTGCATGTTGTCTTGGGGAGGGGGGAAGAGAAGGAGGGGGAGAAAATTTAAAACTCAAAATCTTCCAGAAGTGAATGCTGAAAACTAAAAATCAATAAATTATTAAAAAAAAAAAAGAAAAGAAAAAAGAATTTAAGCCAAATCTAACAAGATAGAGCTGGAGGCTCTCCAGGAAGATAAAGGGCCTTATTAAAGGCAAGAAGTCTGTTGCACACTTTTTTGGTAGCTGTCTACAGCACTATGAATGCTACAGGTACTCAGTAAATATTTTCTGAACCGAGTAAGAAAAATCAGAGGCTAGAAACCACACAATTATTATCTTTCAGTTCTGCAAATTGAAAAAAAAAAGGGGGGGGGGAATTTTCATCATTCCTTTCCATGGAACTGAGTCAGCTCATCGTACTACACATCAACATTACAAGAAAGTACAGTACGATTTCTAGGAAACACATTTTCCAATTTTATTAAAATTCTAGGTCACCCAAGGTCTATCTTTACTGAAGGCTTATTTGGAACTGTGTTCAATGTTACTGCACTGAGATGGTGATCTGAAGTTAATATTTTGCTTTTCATGTATAAGGCAAAATTTTCTTCATTACTGTCATCGATTTTTTTGGTAAGATACTCTGCATTGAAAAATTTTTTTTCTGTAAAGAGCAAATAAAAAACTAAAATCAGCAACAGTTTTAAGGTAGGTGTCACTCAATAAAACTAAGTTAATTTTGAAAATTCCAAACAAGAAGACCATTCCATGGCAAAACTTGCTTGATGAATAGGTCAGGTGCTTCCAGAGGATCTCTTTAGTGTCTTTTTCACCTACAAATCACTTTGTTAGAGTTGTTCAAGTTTTTGCTGTAACCAGGAAATGAATCTATCCTTTCCTAACAAAAAGCTTTTGCCAGTAGTGATCTTAACACCAGAACTGATGTGTTAAGTCATTCTTTCACTGAGATCCACCTCAAGTGAAACCCTGAAATAGTCAGTGGGAAGCTTACCTCTTCTTTATCATTCTGGCGTAGATGGTTGCATCGATCCAAGAAACAGTGCCCACCCATTATCCATTCCTTTTGGATGAGGCTCTGAAAACCAAACCTGGTTCTGCAGTATGGGTCCATCATCACTTGTACCAGAGAGGAGATTATGCAGCACAGGTCAGACGCATTCTCCTCTAGGAAAAATCATGGTAATAGTACACAGAGGACAAAATATTTTAAAATCGCAAAGAATGAGAGCAACAAGTGTGTCCAACCCTACTCTTGACCTCATAAGTCAACCTTTCTGTTTATTCATCCTACTCCTATCTTTGCAATGCTTTAGAGAAGCCTTCATAGGCCTGGAATGCCCGCTCTTATTTTTAAACCAACTGATTTACTCCTGATCCAGACATAAAAAGAGAATGGGCATAACAGATAGAGAGCTAGCACTGAAGTCTGCAAGATCTGGTTGTGTTCACATCCCACCTTGGACACAAACTGGCTGTGGACATTCATTTAACCTCTAGGTGCTCAAGGCAACTCCCTAAGACTCTAAAAGTTGCAGAGAAGGTGCAAATGTGCATTGGCAGAAGGAGTTTCTTCAAAGGGGAGTTCCCAACAGGAATGAAATTATAGGTGTAGACCCTATCCTGATTTCTGATACAGCCTACCTTTGTCATAAGCTCTTCTAGTGAATGCTTTCCTCTACATTCCTAGTCTAGACAGCAGCCTTGAGAGGTACTTCTCCCTCACCTCCATCTCAATTATGTACTACTCCTTGCCACCCACTCATAAAATCCACTGAAAGGGTTCCTTTGCCTTCATACTCAAAGGACCAGATGAGCAGGAACTCCTGCTTTTCAAGTGGAACCAATAGCAGTATACCTGGGGTTGAAGCTTCTCAAAGAAATCCCAAAATGCAAGCATTTTAAATTCTATTTTGAATTTTGGGGTGGGTTAACTTTCCTTGTTAAGCTCTGTCCATGGACTATCATTTCTCTTCTGTTGTACTGACTACTTGATCCAGGTCGTTTAAATTCTCTGCCTTAGATGCAAGCAGCATGTCCATAATACCTTCTCCAAAACAGTCATCTACATCCCAATTAGCTTCAGCCCTCCCTAGTTCCATCAATCAAGTATCTGTTAATGATAAATTTAAGATTTAAGCATCTGCAATGTGCCCATAACTATGCTACGCACTGGGGATATGAAGGGAAAAGAGAAACATTATAAACTCTCTGTTGAACCTGACCTTCGTTCTAATTGTGCTCTTCCTTTTGTCTCAACCCATAAATCACTAGCAGAGCTACCTTACCCTCCCGCCAAGAGGACAATAAGACTCAAGCCCTGACATCAAAGGGAAATAATAGTAGCTCATCTACTTCAGAGCCTATTCCACTGTGACCTTTGGAAGACCCACTCTACTGCACAAGTCCACTATGTTCCTAAGCTTTGTAACGAATAGTTCTACTTTCCTTTAATCACGACTTGGGTTCTTCTCTGGGAACACCACATCACCTGCAACTGCAAGGTTACTTACAAGGTCAGGAGAAGGGTTGGCTAGACTTGTTGCTCCCACCTACTGCCTCTAGACCATTTTTTTCCCCTACCAATATCTCTCAATAACCTTTAACTTTTGAAGCCCACGCATCTGTGTGTGTATATCCCACTATGCTGCCCTCTTCTGTAACTTCTTTAAAACCTTTAATAGCCTCTTCTATCTTACGTAAGTCCTATGCAGGCAGAGTCATAATAAGACTGTCTCTTAGAACTATAACATTAGCCACAATCTCTTATCCTTCCAATTCTTCTTCACACTGAAATTCCTCTGCCTACTTCTATCCCAATCTCGGCTGTCTTCACTCAACCTCATTCTCTCAGTTCATTTCATTCACTGTTTTTTCTTTCGTCCATGCCTAGTCTTGACCACATTGTCTGCCACTCTGTTTCCCTAAATCGGTTCCCTAGAATCCACTATGCCCCTGATCTTTGGCCATTCCTGATCTGTGAATTTTCCACCCTTAAGTAAACTCAAACATACAATTTTCTCCAGACCCACTCCAAGAAAGCTCAGTGCTAGTGGAGAAATTTACAAAATCAAGGTGACTTCGCACACTACAATATGTTGTGCCCAATTTCAACTAGATCTTCAATGCTTGAAAGTTCTACCCTAACTTAATAGATTCCCTTTCATTTCCTACAAAGGCTATTCCAAACCTTCTCTTCTCTTTTCTCCCAACTACACGTATAGCACATGACCCAGGCTCCTACTTCACACCAAAAAGACAGGTCATTTGAAGTGATCTCCCCTTTGGTTCTCCTGAAAATTTTTCAACATATTCACGCTCTCCTCCTTTCCTCTGGTCACACAAGAAATTCTCAACTCTTTACTAAACTTAATCCTTTATCTGCACTGTAGATCTCATCCCCTTCTTTAGGATTTCTAGAATTGTTCTCCACTCTGTTAGGTATATTCAGTCTCCCTCACCCAAGGGTGTCCAACTAAATGTTTAATAACTGGATCTCTACGCTCCAAGCCACTCCTAGTTGCCAATGTACACAAGATACACTTTTAATTTTAATCTGTATTATTAACATTTTCTCCATCACATTCTTAAGTTTAGACAATCAAAATAAACCAAGCCCTGATTTGTAATGTTCGCTGGTTTTCAAGGTATAAATACTCACAGTGAAAATTTAACAATCAGCTTTAGTGAGCTAGTATGAGCTGGTTCCAGCATACCTCTGCCTTCACAACTAGCTCTTTCCCATTTTCCTACAAACATGATCAAGTCATCCCAATACTAAAAAATAATACCCTCTGAACCTTCTGGAGGCAATTGGAAGATAAAAGGCTGGACTTGGAGTTGGAAAGATCTGAGTTCAAAATCTGTCTTAGGAGCTCATTAGCTATGTGACCTTGAGAAACCCACTTAACCTTGCTCAGTTCAATTTCTTCATCTGCAAAATGGGGATAATAACAGCAGCCACAGGCTTATCGTTAAATGAGATAACACATGTAAAGCATTTTATAAAGCTTAAAGTACTGTGTTAGCTACTATCATCATCATCATCAAGTCATCCAGCTACCATTCTCTATCTCTGCTCCCCTTTACTGCTAAGTTCCTTTAAAAAGTTGTAATACTTTGTTTGTCAAGCCTCTAATGCATGTTTTCCACAAAATTGTATCATAGAGCTGTCTTATCTTCCCATTACACATTACACTCTATGAAGGCATGGCAGTCAATGTCCTCTAGCATCCATCACAGTGTTCTGTACAAAACAGGAGTTAATTAAATCTCTACTGAATGAATGCTCCATGTGTATAAACATCACACTATTTGTGTCTATATGTGACATAGAACAAAATAAAGATAAACATTTTGGAGAATGAAGAGTTAAAAATAATCCCAAGATTTCCATCCCAGGAGACTGGGTGAATGGTAAAACTATAGACATAAAATGATGAATTTAAAAAATATGCATGTTTCTTAGACTTTAAGCTCTTAGAAAGCAGAACTGTGTCAACTGTCCGTATAGTTTGCTGCATACAATGAATGGTACTTAAAAACAGTTTAAAAAAATGTTTAAGAAGATGACTGTATTATTACTACTGGAGGTAATAAATTCAAAGTAAGGTGCCCAAGTCAGCAGACATTTTTATTCTGAAAATAATTACATCAGGCCTAAATTATGACATTAAGATTTGAGTCACACCTCCTACTTCTTTTCCCCTTCAGGACAAAAGTAAAACAAAAGAACTGGTAGACTTTATAGGTAAGAGGATTTTGTTCTTGTCTTTCATATTCTAGCAGTAGCCAAACAAGTTATACTTTTGCAAATACATGGAAGTTCAGACACTAAGGCTAAAATTCCTACTCCTCTACTTAGCCTAAGCTAATATTTCTTTAGGTAATATAAAGAAAAGGGAATAGAAGCTAAGATTTCAGTTCGAACAATGATATCTATTCAAGTGAACCCTTTTACCAGTGACTTAACATTCCACCTTCGCTAGAGAGTGAATTAAAACTTCTCATGAAGCCCATCCTGATCAAGTCTGGCCTGAGGTGCTTTTGATTTCAAAATTACTTTACACATGTAAAATCTCTGTCTCACTTTAGATATGTAGTGCTGTTTTCAGTAAGGTGTTTTGTTTTTCCCATTAATTTGTAAAGTCCCAGTAGGCTGAGACCACAAAGATTTTCCATGTAAATTCCCACTGAAGTTGGATACAGCTCTCTGAACACAGCAGAAAATAATGATGGTATCTGAGATTTAAAGAGAGACCCTTTTTGAAACATGTTAAAGATAGATTTTAGTCTGCTTTTAGAAATACAGATTAAAAATGCATATAAAATGCCCCAGCAATCCGGATTGTTGACTCCTTGAGAAGAAGAACTATTTGCCTTTCTCTATATTGGCAGCACTTAGTGCCTGGAACAGAGTAAACATTTAAATACTTGCTGACCAAGTAGATGAACTATAAAAGCTTTGTTAATTTTAAAGAATGAGTTAAGTAATTTCAATTCTGGTTATATGAAACACTTAGTGTTAGCTTATGTACCCAACTACACTGAAAACATTTAATTGTGTATCAAAGATTATTGTAAAGTTTGCTTTTAGAGATGAACCCCCTTCCCCCATGTTTTTTTATTTTGTTTGAATTTCCGAGTCCCTATCCTCAAATATGGCATCTTCAGTCCACTAAGGCAAAAAAAATCACCTATCCTCAGAAGTTGCTAGGGTAACCTTTCAAAGCTCTATGCTTGAGACTACATAACTATACAGAGAATGACTTTAACACATCTATAGATTTTTCATTTCAACTAAGCTGAAGTACCACTAGGAAATTCAAGGATATTAGTAACTTCAAGTTTTGCCATCTGGTTGAATGAGGAAAATATACCCTCTACAATTTCAAATAATTCTTTCTTTGGTTCAGAATAGGTCTGCCACCAAGGGGTCAGAAGTAAGACTTTATTTTCAAAGAGTCACATGAAAATCCCAGGCAGATAATTTTAGGGATCCAAGAAAGTAGGCAAGAAAATCATTAACTCTCCACAACTGTCACATAAACTGAATGAAAAGAAGAACGAGTTTTTCTTCAAACAGCATCTCACCTATGAGAAGAACATTTGTGTTTTGTACTTCCAGACATTCAATAACTTCTATTGCTTTTTTCAGACAGCGTCTAAAAAGGGAGACAAGAAAAGGGGATATGAATGCTTATGTGTGGTACTTTCAACAAATGTACAACAGAGAGTTTATAAAGGGCCTACAAGGCACCATGCTACCCATAGGAATATGAAGACATAAACGAAACAGTCCCTATCCTCAAGGAACCTTCATTCTCCTGGAGAGGCAGAACAAGAACATAGACAATAAGTATATGGGTAGGTAGGGAGAGAGAGAGAGACCATGGAGACACCAAACAGAGCTCTAGAAATAACTGGGGAAGGAGAAAACACTAATGCAAGGGAAGGCCAAGTAGAGAATAGGAAAGGCTTTAAGCTGAGACACGGTCTGAATTGCTTTTCAGATTCGTAGATTAACATATGAATATCTTAGAGAACAAAAGACCCAATAAGATATTCAAATAAGGAGACAACAGCTAGAGCCAGCACAGTGCTCCACCACATACTAAATACTTAATAAATGTTTGTTGAATTGAATGTTAAATCTACCTATTAGAATATTCTCCAATACTTAAAAAGATAAGTGATTTTAGAGGCCTGGGTATTCCCCTCATTCATACGGACTACAACTCCTACATGCCTGCTTAGATAGAAGCCATTATGGCTCAAGGTCATTACCCAATAACCAACCTTCTAGCAGGGAACCTGTCTGAATTTAGCTAAGCTAATCCTTCGAAGAAAAATAGTTTGGCTATGGACTTGCACTTAGCTGATATTGTTTCTGAGATCAAAACACTACCTTTACACTACAATGTGGCATTAAGATAGGACTTTAGTGGAGAATGAGAATCTTAACATTTTTAAAAAGCCCATGGACTTTAAAAACTCCCATAAGGATTTTCTTAGAGGTATTTCTGAACTACATATTTTTACCAAAAAAACCTTATTCCTAGGAAAATGTGACAATTTAGCATCTCTCATAGCAGAACTAACCTCAAGAGCTTAATGCATATTTATGTTTTTCCCCCAAGATGACAGACTCTGACTGTGGCTAGAAAGACCAAGAAGGTCCCTTCCACATTGTATATTCATATGAAGACTGTTTCTTGAGTCTGTAGCTTCTATTACAACTTCTTTACTCCAAAGTCTGAGGGTATTTTTAGTTTTGAGAACACTTGATTACATGTGAAACAACATGGTGAGAATGTTGAATTCTTATGAGCATAGGTGGGAGATTATTATTTTGGGATAGAAGAATCCCTTTCCTTAGACAAACCCTTGGAAGCATCATTCTACTGGGACTTTGCTCTGACATATTCTCTATCGACTTGCAATAAGCTATGGCTATATTAAAAACAGACTGGAGATAAAGGAGGTATCCATAAATTGGTGAATGACCAAATAAATCATGGCACAAGAATGTGACGCAATATTGTTGTGTCAAAAGAAATGAACAATATGAGAAATTGAAAGAAGCACAGGAAACTCTATAGGAATGGAGGCAGAGTGAAACAAACAGTTGCGAGAATAGAAATGATGACAATAACGTGATTTTTGAAAAAACAAAACAACAAAATGCAACCAAACTCTGACTAACTGTAATGAACAATTTTAGTCACATAGAACAAGAGATGTCCTTCCCAGAAGAAGAGTCCTTCCTTCTTAGTAAAGAGGTGGGGGATGCTGCAGATGTGGAATACTGCCTATACTGTCTCAGTTGGTCTTAAGTAATTTTTCTGTTACAAAGGGAGGTTCAGCAGGGGTAAAAGTGTGTATGGGGGTGTGGGGCATTATATAAGGAAATGACCGATGCACAAACAAAAAGCATAAATTAAACAAAAAAAACCACAAAGAACCTTCAGTGACTTTTTTTTTTTAAATTTAACTCAAGCGCCAAACAAAACAAGCATTTCTGTATAAGACAGAGCAGAATATAAAGAGGACTGAACATGAAACTACGGATTTCCATCATGTACAGCTTGATAACAAATTCAACACAGAAATTTCAAAGCTAGCCTGCTTGTCTATGATTTCTTCTGGTCCTTTTAATATTCTATTCTGTCCATTAAAAAACACTCCAATGACTCTTTTGTTTCCTCTTTTTGGCAATCCTCTCTCTTCCATAACCCATCTATCCCTCTCCACCTTAAAAAAAGAAATACAAAACCCTTGGAACAAATCTATGGAGTCACACCAAATAAATCCCCACGTTGGCCATTTCTGAAAATGAATGTCTTCATTCTGCATCTTGAATTCATCACCTCCTTTTTATTATGGGGAAGATTCCTCATTTCTTATAGGATTGAAAAAAAAGGCTTGGGCTATTAAGAGAACAGGGAGAAAATGACTTCCTTTATCTTACAGTCCTTATCTGTTTTGGGCATCTATTTTTGGTCTTCAGAGAGTAAAAAAGCTCCTTGGGGGTAGGGAATATACCTGTAAATTCTATATATTCCCAATACAGACACAAGTATTGAATAATAAAATTTCATTAATAACCACCAAATATTAAAGTATTAAAAAGTCCCTGAATAAAATTCATGTGGTTGAAGAAAGTTCAATTGCTACAGATTCAAAACCATGACTGAAAGTAATCTAAATACCTGATGATATCCAGCCAGTTGCTACTTTCCAATAATGAAAACCATTTCACGTCTGTGTCCCAAAATTCAGAACTGTTGTCTGCAATAGTAGAAAAAAAAAAAGTTATATCAACATTAAGTAAGACTTAAGAATTTTATTATTTAATACTTGGAGTACTATATTAGGAATATAAAGAATGTAGAGACATATTTCCTACCTCCTAGGAACTTTTTTACTCTATGAAGACCAAAAATAGACCCCCAAAACAGAAGGGGAAGAATCTAAGACTAGGGTAAGGTAAGTCAACAAGAGGCCTAAATTAGAAAACTCTCTTCTACATATCTGTCAATCCTGATGGCAAGAAGCATCTGAACGTTACCATAGAGTAAGGAAAAGTGCCATCAGTCATGTGACCCAGTTATCATTTCTTTCCCCATTTGAAGACAAGTTATTTTTGTTGTGTACTCCTCACCTATTAGGAACAGCTGTTTAAATTTAGAGTATGAAGTCTGGATTTCCTGTAGGGATATGAAGGTATTTGACAGTTCTTCAGTTTTTAAATTTTCATAAGGTGGCTTGTGGATGGTCTTGTAAATTCTAGATATCAAAAAATATCAAGAGATAAGAAGAGGAAATAGGAATCAAAGTAATCTACAAGTATTTAAAACTCAAAGTCCCTGTAGTAAGAAGATATCAACAGTTGGCAAAAATGAATATATTACTGGGTATTTAGACTAATAGTAACAACCACAAGCACTTTTTATAAAATTGAGTTTCATAAACATGAATCGAGGTAATTTACAAGTATTAAGTCCATGTTGTAAAAGGATATCAGCTAACTGGAAGAAATCAATGTTTTATTAGGTATTATTATTTATGTTTCTGAAGACTATGACCAAGCATAAGCATTTTTCATTTTTAAAAAAGTCACTTATGAGGAAAAAAAAAAAAGAACACAAATGTAAGAAATTACTGACCCATCCAAGAAGGCTTTTTGTATCTGTAAATTGGAGTCATCTTGTTCTTTGGGGAAAGCTGACATTTTCAGAAGGGCACAACCATTATGGCAAGACCAGCACCAAATCTAGAGAATGAAAAGAAACATTTTTCCAGGGATCACGTACACAACAACCCATTAAGCCAGTCAGACACTCAAACTCACACAGGGGACACTGCTATAATTTCAATGAGACAAAGATGCTTTTTTAGTGAACCAGCAAGTTTCATATAGCATAGCATTTATTCATGATATTCTTTTCTCAATAAATTCTCCAATGGCAGGGGGAAATTTGAAAATTAGGGGTGGTTTCTGGAGTCTTGCCTTATTTGATCATTAAATATATTTCCTGCCTGATTGTGGTTTGGAATACAAAGAAAACAAGCTCTGCATGCCACCGTTTATGAAAAATATACTACTGAGTCTCCAAGGATTCCTCCTATGCTTACAGAAATCATTTCAGATGACTCAAAATGATTCCTTCTTTAAACTAGATTTTAAATACTTGATGGATGTCAGGAATATGAGTTGGCATCTTTTCTGCAACTTACAGTTTTTCAGAGTTACTTTGAACCCTGAGAGGTTAAGTTACTTGCCAGGGTCACACAATTAGTACTGTGTCAGAGGCAGCTCTTGCAAGAAGTTTTTTCAATAAAACTGGGGTAAAGCTTTGTGAAGACAGTCTCAGGCCAGGCTGTGATAGCCTCCCTTTTTGAAGCAGTAGCACTACCACCTCTGGGGAATCCCTAAGATATTTCTAGATCCCTGTTGGAATGAGGACAAACTACTAAGTATTAGAAACATAAACCTAGAGCTCTAAATAAGTTGATTTTTCTGTGACAAATAAAAAAAAATACATGTTTAAAGGCAAATGATATAAGCATTTGGCTTTCAGGATACTTAGGCTTCCACAGGTACTTACAGGTATACCTCGTCCTTGAAAACATGAGATATCCTCTTCAGAAAGAGAAACAGGAACAACAAAGTAGGCTGGCAGCCTATAGGGAAGAAAGAATGCATTCTACTACCAAAGGCTGGTATTAATTAAATCAAAAAGCTGAGATTCTAAAACAAAGAAATTCAAGCACAGCCAAGGACAAAGGACCATATTTCTCTAATTAATGAGAACTAGCTCCAATATATTTTCTCTCTCTCTCTCCCTCTCTGTGTAGAAAGAGCACTCACTGGATAGGAAGTCACAAGACAAGGATTCTAACCCCATCGGTGCCAAAAACTAGTTGGATAATCTCAAAAAACCATTTACTTCTCTGGCCCTCTGTTTCTTCATCTGTAAAATATTCCTTTCAATTCCGAAACTCTATGACATTAGGGAAGGAAGAAGGACTGGATTTCAGCGAGTAGGGAACTTTAAGGCAAGGAAACTCCCTCTCTCAATGCTGTATTTGGCATTCAAAGCCTTTCATAACCTGGCCCCCTCCTACCTTTCCAGGCTTATACTTTACCCCCTGACAAATACTCTTCTACTCAGTAAAGCTGACCTCCTGGCTGTTCCACAAACAAGATAGTCCATGTCTCAGCTCCAGGCATTTTCTCCAGTTGTCCCTCATGCCTGCAACACTCTCCCTCCTCAACTCCAATTACTGACCTGATTTCCTTTAAATCCCACCTTTTACAGGAAGCCTTCTTTTCCCAATATCTCTTAAATCTAGTTGCAGGGGTGAGGAACCTGTGGCCTCGAGGCCACATTCAGCCTTCCAGGTCCTCTAGGTCTTCTGGGTCCTTTTGACTGAGTCCAAGTTTTACAGAACAAATCCCTTTATTAAGAGGATTTGCTTTGTGAAGTTCGGATTCAGTCAAAGGGCTGCACTTGAGGACCTAGACGGCCACATGTGGCCTTGAGGTTGAAGGTTCTCCACCCTTGATCTAGTGCATTCTCTCTGTTAATTATTTCCTATTTATCCTGTATATAGCTTGCTTTGTACATATTTGTTTGCATGTTATCTCCCCTGTTATGTAAGCTCCTTAAAGGCAGGAGCTGTCTTTGCCTCTTTTTGTATCCCTAACACTTAGGACAGTGTTTGGTACATAGTACTCACTTAATAAATGTTTATTTACTGATCAGTCAGCACATTCTCTTCAACTTATGGTCTTAGAGACACATCTAGAGCAGTGATCAGCAAACTACAGCCTGTGGGTCAAATGTGGCCTGCTTCCTGTTTTTGTACAATGTAAGGTTTTTACATTTTAAACAAATTTTTGTTGTATTTTAAAATGTAAAAACTACTTTTAGCTTACAGATTTGTACAAAAACAGGAAGAAGGCCTAATTTGATACTCGGGTCATAGTCTGCTGACCCCTAGCCTGAACACTGAGAGGTTAAATGATAGGTCACAAAAATGGCAAGGTTTGGCAACACACTGAATAGGTGGGGCAAATAAGCAGTTGAGTATAATGACAAGGTTACAAACAAGGGAGAAGGGAGGTGCCTTTTATAGAAATAAGGAACTTAGGATGAGGGGTGGGTTTGGAAGGAAAGAGAAGTTCTGTTTGGGACATGTTGAGTCTGAGATGTTCCAGGCCACCCTGTTTGAAATGTACCACAGGCAGCTGGTGTTGAGGAAAGAATTCAGAGCAGACAATGAGGCCAGATATAGAGAGACTGAGTCAGAGCCATCCTTGACTCTTCCCTCTTCCTGACTTCCTTCCCCAGTCAGTGGCCAAACCCCGATGATTCTATCTCCACATCTCTTGCCTCCAGCCTGTTCTGTCAGCTCACAAGACCGCTCTCTCCTGAACAATGGCCTTCCCAATCAGTTTCCCTAGCCCAAGTCTTTACACTCCCTACTCCATCCTTCACACAGCTGCTGCATTAATAACTTCCAAAGCACATCACTCCTTTATTAAAAAACAAACAAACAAAACCCTGATGAAGTACCTTATTACATCTCAGATACCATGCAAATTTCTCAGGCTGCTACTTAGGAAATATCCAATCTTGCTCAGGGAAGTTAGGTGGTATGGTGGATAGAGTTGCTGGGCCTGGAATCAGGAAGACTCATCTTCCTGAATTAAAATTCGGCCTCAGACACTTACTGTGTGACATTGGGAAAGTCCCTTAACCCTGTCTGCCTCAGTAATTCATCTCTAAAATAAGTTGGAGAAGGAAATAGCAAACCCATTCTAGTATCTTTTTCAAGAAAACCCCAAGCGCAGTCACAAAGAAAGGGACGTGGTTGAACAACAACAATCTTGCTCTAGACTATACCTTTCTGTTCCAGCCCAAGTGACTTCGTAGGTATTTCCTAAACTTAGCATTCCCTGTCCTGAGGCCTTTGCCCATGCTGTACTGGACTGCACCTCTGGCTCTTAGGACTTGCGAGCCTACCTCAAGGCTCAGTTCAGGTGTCGCCTCTTCTGGGAAGGTTTTCCTAATACTTCCCATCCAGTTCATAGCTCACCTTTGGACAGCACTTTATAGTTTTTGCAAAGCACTTTATGTCATCTCATTGAGCCTATTAACAACCCTGTGAGGCAGGTATCTATTGTTTCTCCATTTTCAAGATGAGGAAACTGGGGTTAAGAGAGAGTAAGTGATTGCTGATGATTTCAAGGTCAAGTCTTCCAAACTGTCACTTCAGGACTCCATTCATTAATGCCACACTACAACTGTTAATGTGCCTTTTCTCACATTCAGTTACCCTGTATTTGGTTGTATGTGTACATAAACAGAATGTTATTTATTACATTACAAAGACTTTCATTTTTGTTGTTGTGCCCCCAGCACCTAGTATACTCTATCTTGAAAAGGGGCAACATCGAGGGCCAGTCTTGGAACCTGACAGACCTGGGTTCAAGTTCCACTTCTGACACATAGTGGCTGTCTGATCTTGAGCAAGCCATTTTACCCCTGAATGCTCTAAGCAATTCTCTAAGACTATAAGTTGCCAAGAAGATGATGACCTGCATTGGTAGAAAGAGTTTCCTCACCAGGAGGACCCTGTGGCAATGAAACCAGGGGTCCAGTCCCTGTCCCTGTACCCTAAAATAGGGGCCTGAAGTGCCAACCTCACCGGGCTATTATGAAAATAAAATGAGATAATTTATGTAAAGCACTTCACAAACTTAAAATGCTATGAAAACTTTGGCTATTATTCCACAGAGTAAACAATAAAACATCTACTGAACCAAATTCCTTTCTCAGTGGTATAGACACAGGAGGACAAGCAATCACATCTGAGCACGCTGCCTTCAGAGCAGTGGAGGTATCTATAGCTACCACATGAATAAAGAAAGCTAACACAGCAAACAGCTTCTGACAGGGGTCCATCAACAATAACTAGCTAAGCGCATCAGCAAGTCCAGTCTGCCCTCTATACCCAAGAGGGAACTTTTAGAGACTCTTATCACTTTTACTGAGAACACAGTTCCTCAGCAAATAGCACAAGAGAAAAGACATTTTGTCCCAAACCATGAAATACAGCTGTCACAATACTAGAATTCAAGGACCTTTTAGGTTATATATCCCTTTCTCCCTACCAATATTCTTACTGTACAGAAAATGTGTCAACTGGTCCCAAATACCAGATTTTCAGACATAGTTAAACAAGGTACGCCTTTACTGGGCTGAATTTTAAAAGTGTCTCACATTAAATTATTATTTATTAAACATATACAAACCAAATGCTATATAGAAAACCATGAAGTAGATTTAAATGCAACCAGGTATGAAGCCTCAGTTCTCAGAAGCAACCCTGGTTCTGAACAAAGCAGCTCTTTGCTTCTTCCTCTCAAAAAGCCCCTTTCTTCAAGAAAAGAAACTAAAATTACCCAGTGGCATGAAGAAAAATTTAACCATGAGGCAAGTGGGGAGAATTCCAGTCGGAGTGGAGAGTAGGCTCTTTGTTAAGTGCCAACACCTGCACTGTTCACTTACTGGCAAGCCCATTAAAGTGATCTCCAACAGAAATGTTTCAAAATTTCCCTTCAAGCTTCTACCTGAAGTTAGAAAAGTCAGAAAAGATCTGGCAGCTAGAGGAATAAAACAGGATATCCTCAAAAAAAAAATATGACACAAAAACCATATTGTTTTCATTTCAGAGATTCCAAATTCATAAGTAGTCTCTGTCTATACGAAATTCTATACACTAAGGTGTTACTGGTAGGAATTTTTGGTTATTCTGCTCCATGAGCTTCCCAGGAAGGCATGAGGACCTGACAAGCCCTTTTGTTGTCCTGGGTGGGGATCTGCCAGAAGGTGGCCAGATTTATAACTATAAGTAAATACATCATTTTTTAGTCAATGAAAGAAATTCTCCCTGGGGTGTTATCTACTTGGCAAAGAGTTACAAGGGATAATTTGTCAAGTTTTAACAACCTTGGGTTTTGCGGGGATAAAATGAGATCATACCTGTAAAACCCTTTGCAAACATTGAAGTGCCACTTTAAAAGTTAGCTGTTATGAGCTGACTGATGCACACAGGAACATGAACCCAACTGCTCACATCAGCGACCTCCCTGGCCCAGTAACTGTCTTTGACGTGAGTATCTAAGGACAATTTGTGGCAAAGTGTGACATACATCTCAACAGATGAATAACTATTAATCCCTTCTATTTATGTAATAATCTACGGATTTATCTAACATTCTCTGAATGTTAAACAGAAGGTTCTTGTAGTAGCTATCAATCTGGGAATGCCTACAGAAGATTCTAACACAGGATAGATGTGCTTTAGGGATAATAATAATAGCTGCAGTTAACATTTCTATAGCACTTCATCTCATTTGATTCCTGCAACAAATCTATAAGGTAGGTGCTATTACTGTGATCATTCTATACATGAGAAAATTGAGACTGAGAGAGGTTAAGTGACTTGCCTAAAAGTCTGTACTTAATAAATAAGCACACAATGTTTAAAAAGAGTGGTGGAGGGAAAACTGATGCAAGCAGGGTTTCCTTTGGGAGTCTAATTATTTGGGCAATATGTCAACCAGCACTTCTTAAACTATAGGTCACGACCCCACATGGGGTCACCACCCACAGTTTAAGAAGTGCTAAAGGGGTCTCGTGTGGAAAAAGTTTAAGAAGCCTTGGTTTAGAGAACTGAGAACTTGTTTAAATGATTATGTAGTGGTTCTTAACTTTTTAATGAAATAGACCTTTTTGACAGTATGGTGAAACCCATGGATTCCTCAGAATTATGTTTTTAAATACATAAAATATACAGGATTACAAAGGAAACCAACTATATTAATAAAAGCTATTTTCTATATAAAGCTTTAAAGTTTGCAAAGTGCTTTATAAAAATACATCATTTTTATCAGAAGTGGGTGCTATTATTAATCCCCATTTTATAAAAGAGGAAACTGAGGCACAGAGAGGTTAAGTGACTTGCCCAGGGTCACACAGCTAGTAAGTGTTTAATATCGGATTTGAACTCTGGACTTCCCAATTCCAAGTACAATGTTCTAACTACTGGGTCACTTAGTTGCCTCTTATTGAAATATTAACAAAACCATAGACATAAGACACCAGGGTAAGAATTCCTGCCATAGAGGGATCCTGGAAAAGGGCACGCTTTAGGCTTGTCCTATCTATCCAAGGGACATAGGACCCCAGTCTTAAGCAATAATAATTTGATGATTTTTCTTTATTGCTTTACTCTTGGTTCACTTCAACAGTTCCTTTAAAGATTCGTCTGGCCAAATGACATACAAACATGAGGAAAATCCCCCTTTGTCAGCATTTACTTGCTAGATTAAGCCATATCCCTTGCCAATTATTACAGATGCTATGTTTTTATGTGTGCTAGACGGAACAACAAAAAGTTACTTTGAAAATTCTACCATCAAGCTAATCAATTGAAGAGGTTTTAGAGCATGAAATAGGGCTGAAAACAACAAGGTGTGTCAGGTTCAAACTCCATTGAATACATTTCATCCCCCGCTCCAGAAAAGGTCATGGTTCAGGCTGGCAGCTGACTACAGGACTTGACAGAACCTACTGATTAACAGATCTACTTGTTGAGGAAACCTCTTTGAGCAGGGAGAGACAATTTAACTGATTGCAAAACACTATGAAATGCTACAATGATGGTAGGGATTTTAGGAGACACTGAGAGCAGGGCCTTGAAGACCTTTTTTCAAATGAGCATCAAGAACTAAGTTTTTAAAATGCGCTGAGCTCCTAGAAACAAAAAGGGCTTGGGGAGCAACAGGGACAGTTGCAACTACAATTCCCACTTCAAGGTAAAAGAAGCTGTATACTTGAATTTTGCATAGCACAGTTTCAAAGTCTACACAATAACACCTTTTGTCATGTTCAAGGTTTCTTTTTAAAAAGCACAATATTAAAACCTTACTTTTCACAGACTTTATAGCCTTCATTGGCACTCACTGCTTTGTATTTTATGTTTCCTTTCGTTCGTTCCAACTCCCAACGCCAGTCCTTAATTGTGTCAAACATCACGGTTTGGTGTGGGGGACCTGTGGCTAACAAAACAAAAATAAAGGGATTAAAATGAGATTTTCATGAAACATTCATATTGCAGTTATATGAAAGTTATATGAAATCTCAGATTTGAGATTCTTTCCCTTTTTCATGTGCCCACATCAACCAAATTTAATACACTTAATTTTTACAAAACCATTCATTTCTTACTCTTCATCTTAATCTGAGGGGTGACTGAGGAATCTGGAAGACCTCAGTTCAAATACTACATGTGACACATACAAAGCTGTGTGACCCAGAGCAGGTCATTTACTCTCTCAATGGTCCAGGCAACTCTCCAAGATTGTAAATTACAGAGGAGCTGCATTGATGAAAGCAATTTTCACACCAGGGAATCAGTTCCTATACCAATGAAGAAATCAGGTCCAAGTCAAAAGAGCAAAAATTTTATCCTATTTTCTTCATTAACCAATGACTGTCATTTCACATGACACAAAGATATTTTGATTGCTATTTTTCACAAAGCCCCACACCCAGCTACATTTTTAGCCAGATTACGCAATAATTTAGCTCCTCAAAGAGGCATTTAACTCTGAAGAAAGGCTTGGCAGACACGCTAAAACAATAAATGCATTTTTTTTAGCTTACCACAACATACAGAAAGACACAAGGCTGATTTTGGCCAAGTGTCAAATTTTTCAGTGTAAACCACCCTTTTTATTTGAAGATAGATGGCCACCAAAAGAGAATTTTCTCGTTTAGCAGCTACAGTAGTCATACAATAGCATGTGTCATTCCCCTGGAAGGGAAATCAAGATTCCTGGGGATGGGTAAGGAGAAAGCAGTCATGCGGATACTGAAGCAACAGATGATCATCTCTCTGCCTCACCTGACGTCGGCTCCCATTTGTGAGTCGTGAGAAAGGAGCTAGAAGGGAGAGAAGTATTTGGCTGTGGCCACAGGCAGGTGAGGACACTTGCCAAGACAGTCTCAGATGTTTTTACTCAAACTGCAGTGAACCATTTGGTTCAAATGTCTATCACTGCACATCTGAAAATAAAGATTAACTGTCTGATAAAATCTGTGCCCTTCATTTTGAATAACCCCAGGGAATAAGCACAAATAAAAGGCCCATTTGTACAAAAAACAAAAAAAAACAAAACAAAAACATCGAAAGCCTTCCTCTATGGCTTGAACTGAATGAAGATAGTAGCTTCCTGCTGTTGCCCAGCTAGCAAAGTGAAACTTACAAAGGTCTCAAAGACTATGTCACTCAGGTTCCACAGTCAAGTTTCCCGAAAGGCAAGTCTTTCTCTGAAAGCATATTGATGCTTTTAGAGGGTCTCAGTGAAACACATTAATGAATTATTAGGGCAAATGATGGTTCCAACAGGTTGTCCAGACTAGAGATGTCAAACTCACAGTCAGCATGTGGCAAGGAGTACAAGGAACTAGATTCAAATGGGACTGCGAAACATTTAAAAAAATAAATAAAAATACAACTCAATATAGACAATGTTAATTTACAGTTTTCTAAGTCAGTAGGGAGGGCAGGGATCTGTTTCTATTTGAGTCTGACACGAATGGTCCAGATTACAAGATTTCCATCTCTTCAAATTCCTACATATTTGATTTCTAACTTAAAATTGGTCAAATTAATTGCTAAATTTAACATCTATTTGTATAAAATTCCTCAATGAGAGTGGCAGATAAGGGAGGAAAAGGGTGGACATAAAAACTGTGAAGAGAAGATTCTGGTCCTTCTAGCTGTGGGTAAGTTAGTGCAGATGAATAAAACGGGCAGGGTCAATTGGGGTAAGGTTCTTGGCATGCTGATCAACATAAGTTAGGGTGGAGAGAAAGTTAAAAACTGGCTAGGCGAGAAATATTCACAGATTGTGTCCAAATTCCAGGAATCAAGACAGAAAGCTAAAATAAAGCCAAGAAGGGCACAGAATTAATTCAAGTAGAGCACAATTTCTCAACCAGCAAACTTTCCAATTAATTACAATAACAGAAGAAATTAGCACCTCCCACTATTTTCATATTAGAACAAACTTAATTCCACATATCTACATTATCATATTAACTGGCACTTATAAGAATAACTCTAAAGCACTCTGTAATCCTTGACTGTTTTCTAAAACAAAACCAAACTAAATGATGGTCAGCACAGTTTTAGTGGATGTGTGCAAGGGTGTGTTAGAACCAGCTCAAATCACCTTTAAAGAGTCAATTATTAAATTTTCAGTGTTGAGCATTTATATCTCAGGAAAAATCATCAAATGCTACAAGCTGAGGCTTGATTTATTGTTTTGCCGATAGTCTAGGCTTAAGAAAGTGATGGAGAAAATGTTAATAATGCAGAGCAAACTTTGAAGTGTGTTATAGAACTTTTTTTCCCCTAGAGAGAGGTTGTTAAACATTAACGTGTGCGCATGTGTGTATTTTTGGTTCAGTCCTGCAATTTTATCAGTGACTGGCAATTATTCTGCAACTTAAAGGGATTTCCTTGGAAACGAATGAAACACATATTGCTGGTTTGCAGAAACTCCCTCTATTAACACATGTTGACACCTTGAAGTGAGAGGCTCAGGTTCACCCAGTCAGTATATGTTAGAGGTGGGACCTGAATCCAGGTCATCCTGACTGAAGTTTATAGTTTAATTTTCTGAAAATTGGTCATAGCATGCATTATATATGTGACAGCTGTCTAGTACCCAGAATATGACTAATCAAAATATCTCAGGACCCAGGTATGCCACAAGAGCATACACCACTGCATTCTAGAATGCCCTTTACATGCCTCTGGAAACTCCCCCACCATTCCATATGCCACTTCCCTGACAAATGTCTGAAGGCCTACGGGGCCACCGGAAAGCAAGGCAGCTCAGGACAAAGAAAGTACAGCAAACGGGTTGATGTAGAGTCAAATCCAGAAAACAGAGAGTGGGAGGATGGTTAGCACTGCTCGCCTTCTCCATCACTCTGGGCAAGGGCTCTGAGCATGTGCTCCAGCAAAAGTCCCAGGTTGCCTAGAAGTCATGGCTCCTCACTCTGCTGACCACACAAGAAAACCAGCAAGAAAACAGGCTGATGGCTCTCAGGAGAACTAGACTGAGGGAAGATCTGTCATCTTTGACTTCCAAAATTTCTTTGTTTTGGCTCCCTTCCTCAGAAAGACACTACTACAAGGTTCTTAACCTGGGGTCCATGATCTTCTTTTCTAAAAAATATTGTGACAACTATATTTCAATATGGTTGGTTTTCTTTGTAATCCTACGCATTTTATTTTATGCATTTTGAGCCCTGAGAAGGGCTTCACCAGACTCCCAAAGGGGTCTATGACACAAAAAAGGTTAATTAAGTACCAGTACACTACAGCAAATGCCCAACTTGTGGTAATTAGACGCTTTTCACACCAAGCCCTGTTTTTTTTTAAAATGTCCTTATATTTATTATTCCCAATTATTGCTCTGATTATTCATTAGACTTTTAGCATGTAATACATTCTCTAGAACCTCCTAGATCAAGACATTTAAGGAGGACAGAAAATTTGCAAGTATCTGTTTCAATGTGTGTTTTTCTATATTCTAAGCAAAAAGAGCTACAATTTATATAGTCTACCTCAAGGGTGGGGAACCTGTGGCCTCAAGGCCACATGTGGCCCTCTAGGTCCTCAAGTGTGGCCCTTTGACTGAATCCAAACTTCACAGAACAAATCCCCTTCATAAAAGGATTTGTTCTGTAAAACTTGGACTCAGGGGGCAGCTAGGTGGTGCAGTGGATAGAGCACCAGCCCTGAGTTCAGGAGGACCTCAGTTCAAATCCGACCTCAGACACGTAATACTTACTAGCTGTGTAACCCTGGGCAAGTCACTTAAACCCCACTGCCCAACAAAACAACAACAACAACAAAAAAAACTTAGACACAGTCAAAAGGCTGTACCCAAGGACCTAGAAGGTCACAGGTTCCCCACCCCGGGTCTACCTTTCCCAAAAGTCAAAAAACCAGTTAAAAAGCTAAATGTTAAAGTTCAGCCATCAAAAACCTGCAGACAAAAACTTATTTTTCCTTAGCCTTAAGTAACCTACAAGACCAAATTGAGACAGAAACAAAAGCAAGAGGAAAAGAGAGAGAGCAGAAATAATGCAAGTGTAATTTTGAGACTTATTTCTCTTCCTAATCCCTACTTCCACTTCCATTTGGGACATTAGAAGAAAAATATTGCTCACCCTCAAAAAAAAAAAAAAAAAAGAGAGAGAGAGAAAAAGAAAGCAGAAATCACATACCTGGATTGTTTTGTTTAGCACTTGCATAGGAAAATAGAAACAATCTTTTAAGTAGTTTAGGAGCCTGGGTATGATGAATTATGCCACTGACAATCTAGGAAAAAAGTAACCACCATCAAGTTATTAAGTACTAAAGACCCAAATATAGTTAAATTTCGTCCAAGAAAATCTCAGAGAAGAAAAGCTCATAATTTTTGCTAGAAACACTTGAGAAAGACAGCCTATGACCCAAGCTTCAGAAACAGCTCTCAGAGCCATCAGTAAGTGGTTAGATTGCCAAATACAGAGGCAAAAGTTTTGCAAACAGTGTTTTTTCTTAAAAATTGAATTTAAGTGCCAACCCAATGATTAATAAAATTTTAAATACAATCTCAGACTCCAGACTACTTATATTCTGATAAAAATATTTAAGTTTAATTTTTTTAAAAAGCCACTTTTTTTTTGTTCTGTGTGTCTATATCTTTTTTCTGTCTCTGTACCTATGAAAGTAACATGGAATAATAATAATAAGAGCTGTGGCTCTGGAATCAGTCAATAAACCTTTACTAAGTGCCTAATATATACTAGGCACCGAGCTACATGCTGGGAATACAAAAAAAGGTCAGTCCCTGCTCTCAAGGAGCTCAGTCTAATTGGGAAGATAACATGTAAACGACTATGTACAGACAATCTATATACACCAGATTAACTGGAAATAATTAATGGAGAGCAGGCACTAGAATTAAGGGGGCCAGGTTCAAATTTCATTCTGACACTTACTACCCAAGTGACTAAACAATAACAATAATAATGACAGCCAGTATTTTTATAGTGCTTTACTTAAATTATCACATCATCCAACAATCTTGCGAGGTAAGTGCTATTATTGTTCCCATTTTACAGATGTGCAAACTAAGGCAAAAGGAGGCTAAATAACTTTCTCCAAGGTCACATCAATCCATCTTACTACCTGTTAGGAAAACAGGTTGAAACTACTTATTACGGTGATCTTTTTGGGCTACCTGGAGATATCCAGTAACTAAACTTGCCTCCTCCCCTTAGTATAGACAACAGAGTTGATTACAGAGGTTAGTTTGAGATTAAGATGAATCTATCCAGACTCAGGTATCATACTAACCAGCAAACAACTAAAGAGCTGGAGTAACACATGGATATTATTTGCCATAGACAGAAAGCAAACAAACTGAATTCCCATCAGATTTCTACTGAAGAGTTTAACGTGGGGGGGAAAAAAAAGGCTCACTATATGTTCTATATCTTGTTATGTGCAAGTACAGGAACAGTGGTCCTGGTCATTTTTTTAATCCACCAGCTTATGTCACATCACTTTTCTCTGGCTCTGGGTAGTTAAGGTTTACTGACTCCAAAAGCACAGCCCTTTCTGTAAGGTTCAGTTTCCATCACTGAACCCACAGTTCTGTCTTCCTCACCTCCACACTTCCTTTCAAGTCTTTCATTTGTGCTTTTCCTGAGGCATCAAGGTCACAGACCTGTCAGCTTTTGTCTGGGAAGCCAACAGCTGGGGGGTGGATTGCTGCAGGCTTTATCTCTTTAGTCAACCCCACCTGCAATGCCCCTAACTGCCTTCACAGAGAACTACTATGACTTACCCATTCCTCTGCCTGGTGAAGGACTGGAAAGCAAGATGTGAAAGAATGAAGACCCTCAGAAGTTGGCAGTAAATACACAGGCTGGCTTAATTGCATTTTGAGTACAGCCTAAATGCAATAATGCATCACTACATCATTTAAAAAAAATTGTCAGGACAAGCTGTTCTTTTCCCCCCTTTTTTGCAATATAAGCAAAACAAACGACCCATTCCCTCTCAGGATTCCAAGGAGAAAATCTAAAGGGAAATAAATTCCCCAAACATATGCAAATAGTTACCCTTTTAACTTCCTCTTCCTTCGTGTACCTCAGGCAGAAGTGAAATACTCGGAGGTCTTTGCAGTGGATGATGAGCTTTTCAGGGTATTTCTTCAGTTGTCCAAACAATGGTTTTTTTTTCTCATCAAACACTACAGGAAAAAAAAATCCAAGTCAGCAAATGAGATGAGAAAAGAAAATTGGGTTACAAAGGCACAAGGCTGATAAGCTAATGTTTGAAGAACCAAGGCAGTGGCTGTAAAAACAGTGCTTGTTCTCCAAGGGGATCCCACTGAGCAAGAGCACCCTACGTGCCCCAGGCTCCACGAGGTCATGATTCCTCACACCAGCAATGGAAGAGGCTGCTTCCTCTCAGGAGAGCTAGACTTCACTGATGTCAGGAAAACAGGATCCTGAAACTAAGAATTACTAAGGAGAGAGATCACCAAGGGAAAACCATCTCACGGAGGGGCCATGGCTCTAGAGTGGGAGGAATGGATGAATGTATCTAGGTTCTCATTTTTGTTCAGTAGTTTTAGTTGCGTTTGACTCTTCGAGTCCCCCTTTGGGGTTTTCTTGGCAGGGAGACTGGAGTGGTTTGTCATTTTCTTCTCCAGCTCATTTTACAGATGAGCAACTGAAACACACAGGGTTAAGTGACTTGCCCAGGGTCATCCAGCTCGTAAGTTTCTGAGGCCAGATTTCAACTCAGGAAGATGAGTCTTCCTTGACTCCATGCATGGCACTCTATCCACTGTACCACTTAGCTGCCCTTTTTTGCTGCCTTAGTTTTTTTTATGGGGCAGCTAGGTGGTGCTGTAGCTAGAGTGCCAGGCCTGCAGTCGGGAAGACCTGAGTACAAATCTGACTTCAGATACTTACTAGCTGGGTGATCCTGGGTAAGTCACTTAGCCTTGTTTGCCTCAAGTTAGGTCACTTAGCCCTGTTTGCTTCAGGTTCCTCATCTATAAAATGAATTGGAGAAGGAAATGGCAAACCACTCCAGTATCTGCCAAGAAAACCCCAAATGGGGTCACAGAGAGTCAGACACGACTGAAATGACTGAACAACAACACAAAGCACATACATAAGTACTGTGTTCTATTTCTTTTGCTATAATCCTTCATACTTAGTATACTAGAATCACAGTAGATGTCTGATAAAATTCTACAGCTCTAAACTGGTTAAATTCTGAGTAAGATCCATATTGTGAACTGTAGGAAGAAAGGAAGCCTAAGGTTGCCTAAGCAAGTTCTCTTTAACACTGGAAGAAGAGGCATCAATTCAGGGTGTGGTGGATTTGGAATTGAGCGGGCTCTGCTTCTCAGTCTAAAAGGACAGAGAGGCAGTACTGGTGAAGCTGATAGGTCATTCGACTTGGACCAAAAAAGATAGGGGTTCAAATTCTACCTCAGACACAAACCAGTTGTGTGACTTTGGGACAGTCACTTCAACTCCCTACTTCTGTGTCATCACTTTTAGAGTGAATGGAGTGGACTAGATGGTCTCAAAGGCCCCTTCTAGCTCTGACTCTCTGACAGATTTGATTAGATTAACCTTTGGTGGGCACCCTAAATAGCCAAGGTTGTTACTTAACATGGAGTTGACACTGTATGCACAACAGATTTTCAAGATTTGTTTGTGTGTGATACCTTAAAACTCCACTGTAAAGCACACACTTACCTCCATAAATTTGGTCAACACAGTGTAACGTAATATCATTTTCTCCTATCACCTTATTCTTAAATTGAGGCTCCTAAAAAAAAAAAAAAACCAACATGAACAACAAATAAGTCAGAATCCCTAATGGTCAGGATTGAGAAATTGTATACGTTGGGACAGATTGAATCACTATCTTCCTTACAAGTTCCGAGAATGACTGGAAAAAGTGACCACACCTTCTGGGTAAGACATTATGTAGATACATGGCACAAATAGCAAGCTAAAGAAACTTACACTATCGAAACATCCATGGTTAACATCGTGAAGGTTTAGGGTCAAATGACATCCACTCTATTTAGTGGGAAGGGAAACAGGGGGTTAACATCTTTCCTCTATAAATTTTAGAAGTCACAGAAATCCTCTTCACCTATAAAAGTGAGCAAACCCAAACCTAGAAAAAGGAGAGGGGCAGCTAGGTGGCACAGTGGATAGAGCACCAGCCCTGAAGTCAGGAGTACCTGAATTCAAATCCGGCCTCAGACCAAACACGTGACATTTACCAGCTGTGTGACCCTGGGCAAGTCACTTAACCCCAACTGCCTTAAAAAAAAAAAAGAAAAAGAAAAGAAAAAGGAGAAAAGACCAAACAACGCAGGCTTCTAGGAAATGCATTCTTTTAAAATTTCCACAAGAGGAATGGAAGTCTCTCAATGAGAGGACAAGGTGGCACTAATGGATCACATTCTTCATTAACACCATGGCCCTGCTATTTGAAACCTGAGCTCGACAAAGGGCAAGTCCCAGGAGGTGATCTCTGCTCTGTACTACGAATTGGCTACATTTTCCTTTATACGTAGTGTTCGTTTATTCATGTCTTTGACTCAGCGTACCAACTCCATGAGAGCAGGAACAATTTCTTATACCTTCTAACTCCCCCAGTGCCTAGCACACAGTATTCTACAGAAACATCTAAATTCTGATGGAGGCATTCTCTTGTTAGTGTGAGCATTTCACCGGCCAGTGAAGATAACAGCTCCTCCATGCCACATACAATGGTTCCATAGATCTACAATACAATGAAATACTGGGGAGGCCTTCCTGAGTCTTTTGATGTTTTCATGTACATCTGTGCAGCTTTTAGGTCGTCTACTTGTTATCCTTCACTCTCACTACACATCCAACTCAGCTCCTTTTCTATATTCATATACACTCCTGAGAAGAGCTTTTTTTATACCACATTTCACACCCAAGGTATTATTAGTGACAGGCTAATTACCTGGACCTGGCAAATGCAAACCAGCTTGTAAATGATACTGGTAAAAAGTTTCATAGGGGTCCTGCTACTTAAAGGAATAATCTGAGGGTAGAGATGATTTTTGGCCTTTCTTTGAATGCCCCATGTTCACAGTAAGAGCTTAATAAACACTTTTTGACTGATCAATGAAGATAGCAGAAAAGAAATTCCGTGTGTGTGCGTGCGCGCGAGAGGAGAGATGGGGGGGAAAGAAGAAGAGAGAAAAAGAGAATATGTTACGCACACACACATATATGTAAGAATATATTACATATATTTTCATGTATATATATACATATATATAAATGAGAATATATTACATATATGTAAACTAGAAGCTGGAAGATCCTCTAAGAGGCTACTACAATAGTCTAGGTAATAGTATCCTCATACATTATCATCCAACGTAGACTCATCTCCGAGGAAGGCAATCTTGAAGTCTGTGCAAACGAGTTTCCCACAGATTCCATGCTGACCTGAATCATCCTGGATACACTTAAGCACTGTGCTGGCTTCACAAAGCAGTTGTTCACCTAACCAAAAAAACAAAATAAGTACATGAATTTTCTATGAATAGTATAAAAAATTAAAGGATTACAGTTTTACCTTAGCTAAAAAAAAAACACACCCACATATATTGTGTGGTGTGTGTGTCTCTATATGTGAAAATGCTACTGACCCTTATTTTTTTTTAACTGGATTGGGATGGGATGAAAAAGTTCTGTGAGAGACTGAATTATAGCACAAAAAAATTAAGCACCAAGATAAGTAAAGTCAAAATAGACTGATAGGTCTATGATGGACATTTTCCTGGATAAGCCTGACTTTGAGAGATGGATGTTTCTAAGGAGATGGTATTCATCAGGCCTACATGATCAAGAAGATATGGCAGCAAGACTGTCTGTAACTCATTTTAGCCTAGACAGATATTCCACAAAATCTCTCCGCTGGGTGGCTGAAAGACAAAGTAAAATCTTGCTAATATTTCCATAATCTAGAATCTCTAATCAGTTTTATAGTCACATTTTCTATTTGGGCGGGGGAAAGGGATATGATAAAGTCTTCCTGGCACCTTGGCTGCAAGGTTGGCAGCTGGCTAGCAAAGATGTGAGGCAGAGCAGCTTCTTGCAAAATCATCATAATCACTTGGAGTTTGGCTCTAAGGATAAGGTGCATAACACATGCTCAGAGTACAGAGGTAGGGGTTGTCTGCTCCCAAGAAGAAGAAAAGCTCATGTTTTCTGGAAGTCCATCATAAATAGTAGGAAAAAGGAATGTCATGTGGTGCAAGACTGGAGATACAGTATAATGAGGAAGGGGAGGAAACTATTTTTTCTCCAAAAAAGAAACTCCCTTACATATACACGCTCCCCACTACCCCCAAATACAAATATACAAAAGGGATGAAGGGAAAAGGAAAAAAACAAATTATCCTCTTTATAAATTTCTCATAGTGTCAGTAAAATTGTTTCCCTTTCATTCAACACTCCATATAAGACCAGAGACAAATTTTTGATGCCCCAGAATTGGCAAGAGAACATAGACCAGTATTAATTTACCTTCCATCTTTAAGAAGTTAAATAATTGCTTCTACTTTAAAGAGTAAGACAAGAAAGGAGGTGTTTATCCAACGAAGGTTCATCCAATAGTTCAATCTCTGGAGACAGTAGTGTTTGGGAAAATACATACACAACAGTTAAGCACTTTATTCAGTCTTCAAAATAGCTTCAGAAAAGGCTCTTTAGTTAAGCTGAAAGGAGAAGACTTGTTTAAAAAAAAAAAAAAAGGTTTCCTGTGATTTAAATTCCCTGAAATGGCTTTAATAAGTTTTTCAGCTACACTTTTCCCCCAAACAGAAGGACATCATCCTGTGGTTGAAACACTTTAGATTAAAAATTAATATAAGGCAGCTAATAGGAGGCTTTCTATTTTTTATAATACAAAGCCAGTAGGAGATAATACTTTGAAGCACAGTATACAGTGGCAGATTGCACATTAATTTGTGTGTACAAGGATAAAATTCTTTCCAAAGAGGAGGAACATGGCAGAGTGTACAGAGTACTGGCTTCAGAACATATACTAGTTGTGTGACTCCGGGCAAGTCCCTGGAGGCAACTGTCTCAGACTCTAAGTTGTAGATCTGCAATGATAGAGGTGAGTTTCGTAGACCAGTGAAATCACAAATCTAGACCAAACAAAAGAAAAATAAACTTTTAGATTCTAAGTTGTCAAGAGGAACAGCACTCCTAGAGGCCTAGTGAAATGTGATAGAAACTTAACGATTTCTGCTACTTCCTGGCTGGACCTGAATCCATTTGACTTTGTGGTGAACGGGAGAAATTGCTAGGGATGCCCACGTCAAGCTAAGGGAGGTTCCACATGTTACTCCATGTGACGCAGCTGGTTGTGCCACAGAGTGCCAGGCTTGGGTCCAGCCTCACATAATAGCTGTGTGACCATGGGCAAGTCATTTAATCTCTGCCTCAGTAATGGGAATAATAACAGCACCTACATCCCAGGGCTGTTGTGAGGATCCAATGAGATGATAGTTGTAAAGTGCTCAGCAGAGTGCCTGGCAAAGAGTGGGCACCATATAAATGCTAGTTATTAGTAGAGATCAAAGGGTGGCCCAGGTAATGGCTGAAGTTCCTTTACCCACAAAAAATCCTGTACAGATGTGAAGATGACCTTCCATCTACTCCGTATGTATGCTGTGTGTGCCAAGCTACTAACTAGCTTTTCCACCATTAGAATGTGAGCATCTTGAGGGAAGGGATTGTGTTTTCATCTTTCTTTGTATTTCCAGCACTTAGCACAGTGCTTGGAATACAGTAAGTACTTAATAAATGCCTGTTATTTGACTGAGAAGCTGTATACCTGCTCCAGGTGGTTAATCAGTCACAGACCTGGGGGCAAGTTGTTCCTCAACATGGTCTAAGAGGAGAAGAATGAGGAACAGCTGATGTCATTACATTCATGACTCTTTACAGAAATATTCTCACTAATGCAAGGTAACAAGTTCTTCTTGGTTCTGAACAGTCGGGAAAACAAAGACTTACTCTGGTTGCAGAATTATGCCTTTTATCTTAAGAATAAGAATGCACGTAATAGTATGAAGTCTAGTCTATGGTGGGAATGGAATGAACCAATCACCAAAAAATCACCGGCCCTGCTTGTGCTAGGCACTGTCTCCCAATGCCCAGAGCAATCACGGCAGTTAAGTATTCAGTTTTCAAACCAGCTTCAAAAGAAGGTATACATGGAAGACTGTGAAAAAGGCTTCCAGTACTTTAAAATCCTAGCAAGAAAAAAATATCTTCATTATGTCTTTTTTCAGCTATGCTGCCCCCCAGAACAGATAAACCCATGATCTGAAACACCTGAAACTCAGGTCTCTTTGTTAGGCTCTCAGAGATCCCTGGAATACAGCTGTGCCAAGGCCTACTTGACTGCTAGGCTGGCACATTTCACTTCTTATCTCCTTGCTAGGCTCCTGGAGGACCACAGGACAAATGCAGCCATGCCTCGCTTGTCAGACTGTACATTTATTAAGTTCCTACTAAGTGCCAGGCATGGTTCTATGCTAAACAAAGAAGGCAAAAACAGTTCCTGCCCTCGGGGAGTTCATAGTTTAATGGGGGAAACAACATGCAAACTATATACAAACAAGCTATAAGAGGATAAACTGGTAATCTTCTATAGAGGGAAGGCACTAGAATTAAGAAAGGCTTCTTGTAGAGGGCAGGATTTTAATTGGGACTTGAAGGAAGCCAGAAGGTAGAGAAGAGGAGGAGTGTCTGAACCATGACTTTCAATCCCTCTATGCCTCCATACTTTCCCAGGCCACCACTGTTGCTCTGGCTATCCTCTCCTCCCTTCCCAATCTTGACACTGGTGAATCAGTTCAACCGTGTATTATCCTTTATCTTAAATTCTAGCTCTGAAGTTTTATTGAGGCTCATACCTTGCCAAACTCCAATTATGGACCTCTCCTACCATCTACCTCCTTCACTCCTACTCACATCTTGCTGAGCAGTGCACACGTCACACAACCATCCCCTACAAATTTATGTTATCTAATCCTAACTGATCCCACACTAAATCAAAGCAATCTTTCCTACCTGACTTTCTATCCCACTCACCACAACAGCTGTTTAAACCTTCTGCTTTCTCTCCAAGCTTCCACACATGCCCCTTTCAACACCCTTTCAGCTGAGGAGCTGCCTTGCTAGCTCACTAAAAAAAAAACTGAGGCCAATTGACTTGAGGTTCTTCTTGTCTCACATCCCCTTGAGACGGTCTCCCACTATCTCCTCTTTACTCTAGTCTCTGATGATAACACCTCCTCAAGTACCTTTGATTCTATCCCATTTCATCTTCTCCAAGAAACTGTCCCTTCTATTATGCTCAATCTTTTTTCTTTCTTGCTTCTTTTAAGCACACCCAAGTCTCCCCTAATACTTCAAAAAAAAAGCAAACCCTCATTAGCTCCTAGCATCCCCTGCTACCTTTCATCCTATAGCTCCTTCTCTCTTTCTCAGACAAACTTCATAAAACCATCTATACTTAGTACTCCCACTTACTATGCTCTCAACTCTTCTAAATCTACTGCAGTCTGGCTTCTGACTCATCATTCAACTGAAAATACTCTCCTAATTGCCAAACCCAATGGCCTCCTCCTCAATCCTTACCTTTCCTCACCATCTGCAACATTTGGGACTGCTGACCCTCTTCTTCTCCCGGATCTCTCTTCTCTCTGAGGTCTGTACTATTGTGCTCTCTTGGTTTTCCTTCAATTGACAACTCCTTGATCTCTTCTGCTGGACTTTCCATTTCATACCCACTAACTCTAAGCATCGTTCAAGGCTCTGACCTGGCCCTCTTCTCCTTTCTCTCTATACTATCTTGCTTCATGATCTCATCAGTTACCAGGGGTTCAATTACCATCTCTATGCAGATGAGTCACAGATCTGCAATAATCTTCTAATTGGTCTTCCTACCTCATATCTTGCCCCATACCAATTTACCCTCCAGAGCACCACCAAAGTGCCTAAAGAGCAGATCTGATGAACATCCATTCCCTTTCCCCTGGCCCCATCCCTGCCACTCCAACAAACATCAAAGGCTCCCTACTGCTATACTTCTAGCATAAAATATAAACATGTTTGTCATTTAAAGTTCTTCCTATCCTAATCTCTTCCCATCTTCCAGACTTTTTACACATTACTCCCTACCACACTCTCTATGGTCCAGATATATTGGCTTACTTGCTATTCCATTCCCTTGTCTTTATGCCTTTACAATGGTTGTCCCCTATGCCTAGAACACTTTTCCTCTTTACCTTCTACCTCTTACAACTCCTGGCATCCTTCCTTTAAGACCTGGCTCAAAGCTCACCTTGTGTATGTCTCCCTGTTCTTCCACTCTTTGCTGCTTCCCCTGTAAGGTTACCTTGTATCTGCTCTGTATATAACTTGAGTGTATAAGTTTTTGTTTATATGTGCACACATATGTTAGATATTTTATATTTATTTATATGTCCATATATATGTCTATGTTGTCTCTCCTATTAGAATGTAAACTTCTTGGCTTAGCACAGATAATGTTTAATAAATGCACAATTAATTGGTGAGTTTAAATCCTACTGGATATATCAACTATCCGGTGTTAAGTAGTACAAGCAGAGAAATAAGGATGAGAAAAAAACTAGACCGAAGTCAGGAAGACAACTTATGCTGTGACAAACTACTCTATCACTAAGGAAAGCTGGTGTACACTAGGTAAGGGTTTTGAGGACTATGGCTGTTTTGCTCTGCTCAGATTATAAGGCAGGAAAAAAAAGCATTGAAAGCTGGGGACGCTACAGCAAAAAAAGCATACAAAGATATGTACGGTGAGAAGGGTTGGTTGAATATTTAATTTACAGCCAGGTGGGACACAACAGGGAGAAGAGGCTGCCGTCTTGCCACACGAAGCATAGATGCACATCCAGGTACATAGTTACTGAACTAGCTACTCCTGCAATTCAGCTCTGCATCCTCATTGGGGCTACAAGCCTTTGTTGAAGACAAAGGAGTGTATATATAGTAACATCAGAAATGAAGTAATTTATTTGTTGACCAAGTTGCATATGGTATACAGTCCAAACAAAGCCTGTTACCTGGTAACAAGTGAAGATTTACTTCCTTCTCTGTTACTTCATTTTCATTTGTGTGTATTTCCTAGAAGAGAGGGAAAAAAGGGTGATTAAACAATTTTTTTTCAAGCTTGAAAAGAACAAAATGAAGCTATGCTGTCAAAGATACTGTACACAACATAGCAAATAACATATCATACTACTCTACTGCTTTGTTTGTTAGGCCATAAAGGACTACGGTGATTTTGGTTGATAAGTGTCAGACAAAAGACTGAACATCCCAAACCTGGTCCAACATGCTAAAACTATTTGCTTTGAACTGAAAGATTTTTAACATCTATCTCTCTAAAATATTATGAGTTTAATAAATATAAACACAAAATTTGTAAAGAAAGGCAAGCAAACCTAAGCCAACTAATGTGGAAGGGTTCTGGACTCAAAAATAATTGTTTTGAGTGCATGATGGTAGGGTCTAAGGAATAAAAGATCCTCTTTGACAATGAAAAGATGTCCCCAAGAACATAAAAACAAATTAACACAGTAGTAAAAAGCTGATATTTCTAAGAGTACACATAGCCACACCATAACGGGTAAATTTGCCAACTAATTTCTTTTCTCAATGACACCATCTATAAAAATCCAGCCTTTACAGGTAACCCATATAAGAGGAGCAAAAGGAGCTATTTTAAAACTAAAGAAAGAAAAAAAGAAGATAGAGAATAGCACTAAGGATTAGAAGCAATGACAGGAATGCTGAATTATAGATGATGATCATGGAAAATTATAATATTTTGGGGACGGAAGAGATTTAGAACTAAAAGAGATCTCCAAGACCATGCAATCTAATATTCTCATTTTATAGGCAAGGAAACACAGCACAATAGTAGTGGAACCAGGATTAGAACTCAGGTCTCTTGGCTCCTGGTCTAATTTTTTTTTCTTGTGAAGCAAAAATAAAATAACTTTACAGTGGGGGGATGGCAGAGTAAACATTTATATAACATACTATATGCCAGGCACTGTGCTAAGTGCTTTTCAAATATTATCTTATTTGATCCTCACAATAACCCTGGGAGATAGGTGCTGTTATTATTTATGTTTTACATTTGAGGAAACTGAGGCAAACAGAGAGTGACTTGCCTAGAGTCACACAGCTAGCAAGTCTCTGATGGATCTGATTCAAGTCTGATTCAAGTCTTCCTGACTAAAGGCCCAGCGCTCTATCCACTATCCCATTTAGCTCCCCCCACCAGGGAGCTGCAGTCTTTTATACCTCAATATATTATAGCCCTTCAAGGTATAAAAATCATCTTCACTTGAGTAAGGGAAGGACTAGAAGAATTCATAAGAACTTTGTGTAAACATCAGGCATGAATACCTAAATTAAGAGTGTGTGTTTGTTTTATCTAAGGTAAGTCAAGCATTCTGAAAGGGCCAGCATCATTATCTATCTATCTATCTATCTGTCTATCCTCACAGATTCTTGAAGATGTTAACTCTACCAATTGATTTATTTTTCTTCTCTTTCTTGCATATGCCATGAGCAAACTAGGGCAAAGTTACAAGAATAAAGGTAAGTCAGCAAGGAGGTACCTGTGGTCCATTCTTTATGTATGAGATACAGCAACCATAGATGTTTCAACAGTACTGAAAAATCACTGGACAAAGAGGTGATTTTCTATATGACAAGAAAGCCACCTGAAAGAAGGCCGTGTTAGTCCGAGTTACTAATTTAGCAGGAAATCAGTCATATCCTCTAGCACAGAGGGTACTTAGCTGCCTGCTACCCATATCTCATTCTACTTTTGAAAATGAGGTAAATGAGCAAAAAGTAAACTGTTGGCAAGGACTTAAAGAAAGTAAACACTAGAGTCACTGCAGGAGTTGTTAGTCTTTTAAGATCACAGATTTATACTGATAAGAGTACTAATGAAAAAAAACCTATGGCTCAGATATGCTTAAAGGTCCCAGGGGGAGTAATCAATCAATCAATAAACATTTATCCAGGAAATGGGGTATAGAAATCTATCCTACCCTATAGGAAAACTGAAGGGGAAGGAGATAAGAGAAGGGGGGGAGAGATAGAAGGGAGGGCAGATTAGGAGAAGGGGTATTCAGAATACATGCCATCCTGGGGTGGGGGGAAAGGCGAGATGGGGAGAAAATTTGGAACTCAAAATCTTGTGGAAGTGAATGTTGAAAACTAAAAATAAATTAATTAATTAAAATGTTAAAAGAAAAAAAATAAACATTTATTAAGTGCTTACTATGTATGAGGCACTGAGGATACAAAAGAGGCGAAGGATAGTCCCTGCCTTTGAGAAGCTTACAATCTAATGGGAGAGATAACATGCAAGAGATAACATGCAAAAAAAATGTGTGTGTGTGTGTGTGTGTGTGTGTGTGTGTGTGTGAAAGATAGTGAGGAATCCAGGATAACTCCTAGGTTGTGAGCCTGAGGGACTAAAAGGATGGTATTGCCCTCAACAGTAATAGGGAAGGTGACGGGGGGGGGGGGGGGGGGGGGGGTTTTGGGGGAAAGAGTAAGTTCTGTTTTGACTATGTTGAGTTTAAGATGTCTACTGGACATCCAGTTAGAGATGTCTGGAAGGCAACTGGAGATTTGAGATTGAAGGACAGCAGAGAGTTTGGTGCCAGAAAGGCAGATTTGAGGATCATCAGCATAGAGATGGTAATTAAATCCATGGGAGCTGGGGAGATCACCAAGTGAAATAGTATAGAGGGAGAAGAGAATAGGACCCAGGACAGAACCCTGAGAAATACCTACAGTTAAAGGGAATGATCTGGAAGAGAATCCAGCAAAGGAGACAGAGAAGCATTGGTCAGATAGTTAGGAGGAGAACCAGGAGACAGTGGTATCCTGAAAACCTAGAGGGAACAGAGTTATTAAGGAGGAGAGAGTGGTCAACAGCAGAGACAGGATTTAAAGTCAGATGCTTTGACTCCAAATTCAGGCCTCTTTCTATATACCATGCTGCCTCAATGCCCCACACCATAACATACATAGATAGGTGCCAAAATAAGTAAGAGTATTAGACTTTAAGTCAGGAATTTAGGAGTTCAAATTCTGCCTCAGATATTGACAAGTTAACCTCTTCTCAGCCTCAGTTTCCTCACCTGCAAAATGGGGAATAATAGCATCTACCTCACTTCAAGGATCCAGTGAGATAACAATGTACCATACTTGGTAAACCTTAAAGTGCTATATAAATGCTAATTATCATCATCATTATGTTCATTTCTATATTACATCTTCAGTTCATCAAGGCAATTGTTCCTCAAAATAACCATGATAATGACCTTTAGTCAAAGAATAAGTCAGATTAGGCCCATATACTCTATTTAAAAAAGTAATAAAGCATATAAATACTTCATAGAAAATTAAGATTATTATTATTAAATTAATCATTAATATTTTATATGGTCTTATGTAGAATTATTTTTAAAGCCAGTTTAAAAACTTGGCACTTGTGAGCCTTTTTACTGTCTGGAAAGCTCAATCCATGATAATTCATCCCCAAAGCTTCCAATTACTTCTCCAATTCAACTCAGCACAATAAGCATGGTTTCAAGGCCCTCCTATGTGGAAGCTGCTGGAGTCACAAAGTCAAAATGGAAAAAAAATAAAAAAAAGAATAGACCAAAGATTAAACAGAAAGCAAATGGATTATAAGAGTACACTGGACTGCTAAGTAGCACTTCAGGTGAGAAGATTATGAATTGTCCCCCTTTTTGGCCTGGCACAAGCAACCACACCCTTCAGTCTGGCTAGGGTTTCTATTTATAGCTTCCTTCCAACTAGTTTATAGTTAATCAAAGTACATTTATTAATCATGTACTATATGCCATGCACTGTGCTAACTGCTGGGGACACAAAAAAGTCAAAAACAGATCTTGCTCTCAAGAAGTTCACAGTCTGGGGGTGGGGAGGGGAGATAATAACTCTGTAGAAACTAGATCTATACAGGGTAGATGGAAGGTAGTCTCAGAGGAAAGGTGACTAAGACTTAAAAAAAAAAAAGAAGACATTAAAAACAGCCACTTTATGCACATTAACAGTGAAGGCCAACTAGATACTATGTGGGTGGGTGGAAAATACAAAAAGTGATGCCTCTGAACCATGACTGGCACCAATATTTATCTGAGTAACTGCACTCATGAATATATAAGACTTTGATAAGAACAAAATCATTAACAGGGAAGCCTTTAAACTATAAGCCGGTCCTGGAAAGCTTCTTAATTCTAAGCAGTAATCCTTTTCCCCAAGAACATAACCCAATTTATATGTCAGAAAATTAAAATAATTTAATTTTTCAAAAGGCCAGAAAATAGGAAGGATGGGACATGTACTCCTGGCTCTCCAGATGGCATTAAAGCTATTACTGGTTACTACTGGTGATAGTAACATTCACTCTTCTCAAATCATTCTGTCTCAGCCTGGGTAGGAGTTCATATCAGCACACATAACCAGCAAAAAGCTGAAGAGGTCAAGAGATAGAACAGGACATTTCGTTACATTTGAATTCTGAAGAAATGTTTAATTAAGGCAAAGATGTAGGCGCTATTAGGACTAAGTCGTAAGTATTGCTGAAGGGAAAAAAAGAACATGTACAAAAATATTCATAGGAGTTTTATTCCCAACAACAAAAACTGGAAACAACTCAGATGTCCAAAGATTGGGGAAGAAATGAACAAATTGTGACATATTAACATAATAAAGGATTGCACCATAAGAAATAACAAATGTGGAGGATAAAAAGGACGTGAGAAGACTTATATGAAGTGACTGAGTGAAAAAAACAATCAAAATAAACATAATAACAACAACAATAGCTAGCACTCATACAGCACTTTAAGGTGTGCAAAAAGTGCTTTACAAATGTCTCATTTCCTCACGACAACCCTGAGAGGTAGGCATTATTATCACCTCCATCTTACAGATAAGGAAACTGAGGCAGAGAGAGGTTAAGTGACTTGCCCAAAGTCATACAGCTAGTAAGTATCAGAGGCTGGATTTGAATACTAGTCTTCCTGACTCCAGGACAAGGGCCCTATCTATTTTGT